ACTCAAACAAAGAACCCAAGGAACTTCATGCATAGTTCCATAACAAAAATTACGATACCTGAGAAGAAAGAGATAGAAGACTGGCAGGACCAAACATGAAATAATGACGCGAGGAGAATTAGTAGCATCCACAAAATGCCACCTACAAGAACCAATCGAATAAAGCCCTTCTTCCAAACAATCTTCATGGGATAATCCTGCGTCACCCTTCCCAGAGGGAATCCCTCTTCAACATCTGCACCACCAAACAACTTATTCACATTTTTCGTGCCAAACAAAATATCTATTTCATCGATACGAAAATCAATGCTACACCAAAAACCCACATCAATATCTTTAGCCTCAATATTTAACATGATACAATTCACAATGAGGCGACAATAGGCTTGGATTACCTTTACTATGCTGGTTTAAATTACTCCTTTCGCCTCTACGATGTGTGCGAAAAGAAACAGACCGCGGACTCTCTTTATCCATAATCAACCACTACAACTTCTCATAACTGCAGCACAATGCATACATTACTACGTTTTATATCCAAAGTAACAACCACAATCAAACACTATCTTCCCAGAAACCCTCAAAACACGAATTAAGATTAACAAACATATTGCAAATAAATTGGTGAACACAAATCGAATCCAAGCGAATTCCAGATCTGGGGTACTCACGAAATTGATCAAGTTTATCGGCTGCAATTCAAGTTTGGTTTGTGAAAAACTGAAAAACGAAATATTGGGTTGTGAAAACTGACTTACAAATTGAGGATGGTGTGGTTGGAGCCTCTCTGCAGTAAAAGAAGCTTCAGGATTTGTAAAAATAAGAAAGAACCGCAATTTGGGTGGTAAATATAAACTTACTCAAACTTTACAGAATCTAAAGGTTAACAAATTACAAGGGATTGGAGCCAAAAGCTTGAAACTTCACAACCCAGATCAAATCTCAGCCGCAGATGCCACCTGAGCGTGAAAGCAAGCTCCTTTTTCTGGTTTTACCGTAAAGAAAGCTCCTTTTTTTCTTCTGGGTATCCTAATCAGGAAAGAGCCGAAATTTAAAAACTCACTTGGATTGAATTCATCCAGAAAAGTGACACTGTTTCGGACCAGGAAATTTATGTTTATTAAGGAATTTACAGAAATAGAAAAAACTCTTTTTTTCTTTCTTTTTCTTTTTTTATAATTTGTGAATTTTCTTATTTGGTTAATCTAAAATAGTATATGCTCACATATAAAGTGTGAAATTTTTCCTTTGGTTGTTAAAATTGAAGGAGAGAGGAAGAGAGTGAGAGAGAACTAGGAACTGAAGAGAGAGGGAGAGAGGTTTTTTTTTTTTTTTTTTAATTAGAGATGATAAACTTACATGTATGTGAGCTTTAAAAAAAAAGCAAAATTTTGTTTATTGAAATTATGTTACTATCCTTACCTTTTTTTATTTTGTGGTAGAAGACAAAAATATCTTTTCATTCTCTTTTAGTTGACAAATAAGGTTTCATTAATGTAATTTTAAATAATAATGAACTTTGAAAACGAAATTTCTTATTTTTAAACTTTGACTAATAAAAATTTAGAAATGATACATATTTACATAGAATATAAATTGGACGTCCCAAATTTCAAGTTTTTTTTTCTATACAAAAATTCTAAACTTCTAGATTTATGAATCCAAACAAGAAAATTGGTCCAGTCAATTTATAAATTTTGATTTTTGTCAAATTTCTTGTTTATTTTTTTCATCCAAACATGGTGTGAGTAGGAGAGGAGAGTAAAATTTTAACTGCACCTAGCAAAATGGCTCAGTACACCAAAAAAAAAAATTTAACCAATTGTATTATAACATTTTATGTATCGACTTGTGTTCCAACACAATGAAAATTTTCTCCTTTACTTGAAGGTGGTTTTTTGAGTAATTAGTTGATTTGGCCTTTTATGAAACTTAGGATTCCATGCACATCTAAGATTAAAAGCAAGAATATAAACCAAAACAACCTCAAACTACGTCGATGACACTCTTTAAGAGCACTTTAACCATTTTTGTTATTATTCACACTGAAAAAGTTTTGGTCTTTGTGCAACTCCACCCATTTTACCATAGGCAATAGCGAAAATTGTAGCAATGACCTCTTAATTTCAACCCAATTGAAGCAATGGTCTCTCAACTAAAAATTCATGACTACTGATCCCTTCACTCATCAAAATGTGCAACTATGGTCTTTTTCATCAACTCCGTCAAAATGAGTGATGGTGAAATGACCATTTCTACAACTGGGTTAAAATTGAGGGATTATTGCTACAATTTTTGTCATTTGATTTTTCATATTTGCCCCTTGATTCAGTCTCACATGCGTAACACATGACTCATTTTGATGAAAGTTCTAACGGAGTTGAAACAAATGACCATAACTGCACGTCTTGATGAGTTAAGAGACCAATTGTCATGGATTTTTAGTTGATGAATCATTGCTCCAATTGAGTTAAAGTTGAGGAACCATATATTTTTTAATTTTTTAATGCCTTGTTGGTCTTATTCTCCACGCACCTAAGATTTTCAAAGAGATCTTAACTACTCTTGGCCTGTCATGTGTCATTGTCCAATAAAATCTCTACTCAAATTCTCGATAAAATTTTCAAACATTCACGTCAGGCCATATGTTCTTATTTGATTTTTTAATTTCATTAGATGTTTCCACAAAAACCCTCTAACCCACCCCATCTACTCACACCAGTCACCTATATCCTCTTTTTTCATCTCAATCCACAGATTTTAAAAAAGAGAGATCAATCACCAATTTTATAACATGATGAGGTTGCTAGAGATCCAAGAGTGACAAAATGAAGAACGAAGAAGAAAACGTGCTCAACGTGGAAGGCATATTAGGCCTAGAATTACAAGGTTGCTTTTCATTTAGAAGAGGAACACATACCCTTTTGAAACGCTTGTGCCTCCTTTTCCATTCTAAACAGTAGTTAGAGGCATTTCTTGGTCCAAACAAACTCTTAATGAAAGCACCAATTTGTTTGTGCAAATTTTCGTAGAGATTGAATTGACAAGAAACCTGCAAGACAAAATCAAAGAGACAAATGAAGTTATGACTAACACCGATATAGTGTTTGCCAAAGCACCACTGATACCTAAGTTAGGAGAGAATTCTAAGTTTGTATAACTGTGGCTAGAAAGAAATTCACTGAAACAAGAATGAGGCTTGGCTATTTATAGGCTCACAAGGAGTAGACCCTGGCATTTAGGTTTGTTGAACCTTGGAGTAGAGTGATATCTTTTCTGCAACATCGATGTGGGAGCATTTTGCAAGGTCGTTGCAAATGATGCTCCCCAACACAAACGTCTCAAGTATAGTTTAGTGGTTTTCGTTAAGCGCAAAAACTAATAGGCAGACTGATTGTATATCAAGGACTACCGTGTTAAGGCCATTTGGCGGCAAGATGGGCTTCAAGGCCTGATGATTGTGGAATTCTTGGGTGCTCTGCGAAATAGAGGTTTGTAAGCCCATTAAGGTATAACTAACACTTGTCTGGTCCGTTGAGGGCATAACGTGTTTAGGGTTGAATCCCCGACAAACCCCTAATGAGAAGATTAGTTCCGCACCAATGAAAATCAATGCTAATCGAGTCTTAAATTTGTTTATTTTTCTTTTACTTCTTTTTATAAACTTAGAACTTTAAATCATTTGAGAGAAATAATTTTTAAGATTCCATTTGCCATCGTATTATTGGACTTGTAAACCCCATATGTGTACCATGTCAGTATACCTAATGGAATCTTAACATAACAACAAATTAATTTCCGAGGAACAATTTCAAGGACGTCAATGATGGATCTTGAAATTGAGAAACCAAAATGAGAATTTAGGTCAATTTCAAAAATCATTGATGATAAAAATTGTTTTTATTTTGTGAGAATTCCATACTAATGACACTTGGATGCTCTACACAATTTCACCCCAAGGTAAAAAACCAAACTTAATAAAATAGTCATTCTCGGTTAAATTTAGTTTAGTCCTATCATTTTTATTTGGTTTGAGTATGTCTCATCATCACTTCAATTCAAGCCTCAAACTCGACCATTGTATGCAAATCCATCAATAAACTCAAAGAGAAAACGATAATTAAAAGTGTTGGTGAAGGGTGTGAGACTATAAAGTTCGTAAGAAAGATTGAGAGTTGAGACGTGTTAGATACGAGAAAAGAAAATAGTTTTATATTTGAAAAGTATATTAGAAGATGCAAAATGTCTTAAAATCACTTTTTTTTTTGGGCGAAAAAGCTCTACAATCACAAATATAAATTATTCATATCCACCGAAAGATAGAAAATTATATACTGCATCTCTCTAATAAAGACGTCGTATAACCCGTCAATTTTCAACTTTCTAGTGGCAAAGCCAAGAACCGGACGAATCAAAATCCCAAATCGATCCGGTTCATTACATAATTCATGGCTCAAATTCATTCCGTCACGCCTTACACAGATACACTCTTGATGGGCGGCTCAGATTAAAAGCAAGAACTTCACACGTTCATTACGCACTCACGAGTCACGACACGCGCAATTGAACTGAGAGGGAAAAGGCAAATTAGGGTTTGGATTTTCTAGCTGAAAGTAAAATTGGGGATTTCAACAATTGAAGGCAAGAGGTTGGAGGAGAGCGATCCGATTTCCAATTCGAAACTGCGTTCGGTAAAGGTAAAGTTCTGAACTAAGTGTTTGAAAGAAATTGCTGCTTCTGAAATTTTCTGTACATTTTCTGTGGTTTTTCATGCCGTCGCTTTTACTTGTTTGACCTCGATTTTTGATCCAATTGCCTTGTGCTGGAAACTGTTCTTCTAGTTCCTTATATATAATATATTAGGGTTTAGTGCAAAAACCCCAATTCCGTCGGTGTAAATTTTTCTAATTTATTTTTTATTTTTATGAATTATAATGACAAATTTACTGATTGCTGTCTTTTCTTACCCTAACAGAATACTGTGATTTTAGGGTTTAGATATGGATGTCGACGTTGATCACTATAAGGTTCTTGGTTTACCTTCCAGCGAGGAAGGCTCCAAGCTTACAGAGAATGATATTAAAAAGGCATATCGAGCGAAGGCTTTGGTGTTGCACCCTGACAAGAGGCCCGATGATCCTGATGCCCCGGCCAACTTCCAGAGTCTCATGTCATCCTATGAGATACTCAAGATGAGAAGGCCAGGAAACTGTTTGATGATTTACTCAGAGTTAAGAGAGACCAGCAGCGCCGCCATTTGGAACGCGATTCCAAGCGACAAAGGATGGTCTCTGATCTTGAAGCAAGAGAACGATCTGCCTTTGCTTTAGATGCGGCTGCCAGAGATAGAGCAGAAGAGGAGAGAATCTCTAGGAAGCTTAAAGAAGAGATTGAGAGAATACGTAAGGAGCATGCAAAGAAAGGGGCGGCAACTGATTCTGCTCCCAAGAAAGAGACTGTTGGAGTTGGCAACGGAAATGTGGGTGGTGCAAAGATGGGGTTGGATGAGGAGAAGATGCTTAAAGTTTCGTGGGAAAATGTTGGTGAAGGCTATACGGCAGAAGAGGTTGAGAGGTTTGTTCTCGGTGTTCGGTGAGGTTGAAGATATTGTCATCAGGGGCAAGAAGAAGAAAGGTTCGGCTCTTGTTGTGATGGACGACTAAAGATGCAGCTGTGAGTATGCTACGATTTTTTTATTTGTCCTTTTTAATTTGAATGTTTATTTTCTTAATGCGCTAGTTACTTATGATGGGTTTACTATTTGTAGGTTGCTGCAACAGGAACTCTGTTAGGTGATCTTTCTAATCCATTGCTGGTTATACCTCTTAAATCAGTTTCAGTGACTGATGCTCCACCAGTTCAGAGGCCTGAGGAACCTGATCGACTTAACCATTTGGTTGGGGCTGGATATCAATCGTTTGAAGATTCTGTTTTGCAGAAACTCAAAAAGGTTTGACTCGGGTCAACTTTTCTTTATACCTAATCTAAAGATTGCTATTATCATGATGAGACTTAATAAAATGTCACTTGCCATGTTAATGTGACATTAAGAACGTGCATCCAAAAGCTTGGATATAACCTCTTTTCTTTACTTGTCGAAAAGAAAAGTTACCTCTCTTATCTTTTGATTGTACTGTCACTGCTGTTGTATTTTTGTTATTAGATGTTTTTGTTATATAATTTTGCATCTATCAATTTGAAGCAGAATATATGTGAATTAACTGGATCATTCACGGGCTGTTATACTGCATGTAGTTGTAGTGTTAAAAGGACAATAAAGTTGCAGATGCTCACTTCTCTGACAGCGGTTTTATATTTGATTTATTATTTCTAAATCGTGACCTGCACTTTCTATTACATCAGTTCTCAGTCTTTGTGTCTTGTTTCTCTAATGTAGGCTGGGCAGAAGCAAAAATAGTATTCATAAGCATGAAAGTGTGATGATCCCAAAAGCACTACAAGGTTCATGATCTTGCAAATGGTAAGAACCACCTATAATTTCCATTAACTCATATATCTTCTAGTTTGAGCCCGGTTTCTATTTTCGTTACTTTATTCTCCGAAAATAAGTTATGCTTTCCAAATACATTTTTTAAGGTGCATGACAAGCAATTTCTAATCATATATATATAGGAGCAATATACTTTTGCCTACGGATCCACGTACCACGTGGCAAGGGAAAGCTTATCATTCCCCCTATGATTGGAGCAAAGGTTGCTCAAGGCATTTGAAACCGGTTGTTTGGGCCTGCATTTCTCTTAACCAAAATCTATTTGTGAAAACTTTCAAATAGGGAACTCTTACATGTCTACAGGCTAATATACTATAATTCTTGGATTTGCGGGGAAGTCGTGGGGAGTCCTCAAGTCTCAAGATTGTGCAAGAGAAGTGTATTAACTGGTGTGCTGCCGTTGTAATAAATCACATTAGTTACTGAGAGCTTGGGACTAGCGTTGAAGTTTGTGCTTGTATACTAACATTCTACATTCTCAAGGTTAGGACGGAATTATTTCTGTCGCCATTGTGAATTGGGTGTGGGGTTAATAATCGGAGATATGACCTTTTGACTCACTTCAACAGAGTTTGAGGTTTCATGTTGTGCCATTTCACAAATCATTGTACACTTTGTATTGTATCAATTCATGGTTCACTTTGGTTTCCATTTGTTTCACTGTTTTTCATTTATATTCAACACTATGAGATTTGCATTCAGAACCTCCTCAAATAACGTGAAGATTAAGTGTCGTTAGACCAAATGATTGGCAGTTGTACTTTTCACTGTTAATCCTCCGCCACTATATATTCCTTGTTCGTTAAGCAGAGTTGAATGCTTTATATTTTGTGGGAAAAGTCATTGCTTAATACGATTACATTTATGTCCTGATGATTGAAGGACAGGTGTCTGAGAGTTGGTGGTGCTTGGCATGTAACTATGTGGATTCTACTCTCTTTAGGTTTAACACCTCCACAAAAACATTGGAACTTCATTCATTCATAATTGTTGCAAAATCAAAAAGTCATATTAGAGAATTACGATAATTTAAAAAGCATGATTCTGAAAATTCTAACCCTTCTCAAGGAAAAAGATTTGGACCTTTCTATTTTCTTATTATGTTTATCAAAACGATAGTGATATGTGGGAGGACAAATAGAACTCAAAAACTCTGCTGTAAGGGTCAATGCTCTTAATCAGTTGAATTACGAGCTCTTTACTCGTTTTTTCATGCATCTTTAACTACGGAATCATTGATTGTGCTTATTGTCGCAAATTGTAATTTTACGGGAGGAGCACAAGTAGTATTACTACTAGGCCTAAGTGGACTGGATTTGGTACTACTATTCTGATAGAATGTTTTTCTCTTAAAAGTAAGCATTTGACATTGTGTTTCTCAAGCAAGCTAGCATATAACTCCTTTCAAGAGATTTCTTTCAAACACGTTGTCATGGAAGCGAACCATTTACCAGCTTTTCGAGCGAAGATGTTTGACGACTCACGATAATTTTTTTTTTACAAAGGATGAAATAATTTACACTAAATTTTGATAAATTATGGGAGGGAGATTCAAACACAAGACCTCGAGTGCATGAGTGGTGGTCTTAAATTACTGAGTTACTTACAAGCCACTTGTGAAGACTCAAGAATTAGATGGTATATTTTCTTCAAGAATAATTCACAAGTGAAAAAATGCATTGAGATGTGAGCAATCACAGCTTGCTATTTAATTTAAATTTTCTCGGAACAAGATGAGTAATAAAAATATAATTTTTACGCACTATTTTTAACTTTTTACATACTTATTTTTATTTATAACCATTAAATTAAACAAATTAAACGAAAACAATAAAATGTGTGCAAGTGAAAAGTTAAAAACGACGTAGAAAAGAACGTTTCTTCATAAGAAAGGAAGAAAACAGGGAACTCAAAAGAAAATGATTAAATAATTATATGATAATTTAATGTATTATTACTTGAACAGAGATCATCGTCCTTTGCCTCGCCTCCGCCCACCAAAACCCCTCCAAGCTGTCCTAAAATCCCATTTTCTTCTTCTCTCTGCTCAAACCCCCAGAGCCTGCGTGCGCTTCGAAATTCCAGGTTGCAGAAAACCAAAGCCTTCTCTCTTTATTTAAATGGCGGCGACCGCCCCGTGGCATCCCAAGGAAGAAGGATTCGCGGCGATCTGCGGGCTGCTGGAGCAGCAGATTTCGCATTCGGCTTCCTCCGCTGACAAGTCTCAGATTTGGCAGCAGCTCCAACACTACTCTCAGTTCCCCGATTTCAATAACTACCTTGCGTTCATTCTCACACGTGCGGATGTATGCTCCCCCTCCCTCCACTTCCCCGCAATTATGTATTCATTTCCAATTTGAATCAGTAGGGTTTGTGTTAGTATGTTTTCAATTTTAATTTGGTTTGATTTGATTTGGATGGATATTGTGTCTGATTGGATTGCATACTTAGAAATCGATAGTCGTTTTTCGAGATTATCGGGGAATTGCGGGTTTTGGTCAGATGGAAGTTATGGGTGCTGAACATTAGGGTTAGAATGTTTGCTTCGCAATTCGGATTGTTCTGATTGCATTTGGTTTCTGTTCTCTTGGTTTCGACAGTGGTTTTAAGCTGGCAAGACCAGAAAAGTCTTGGAAACTTCAGATGTTTGTCCACAAATCCTTGTTTATGTAGAAACTGTTTGCTGTGATCAAATAGTCAGATAGTTTACAATCCTGTTGCGTGGTAACATGTGTTGTGAAGAAAATGTGATTTCATGTTTATGGTTGTTGGTTAACATAGCAAGACAGTTTTCAGTTTCTATGTGCTGACGGAACTTTAAATTTGGTAAATTATGGACAGGGTAAATCAGTGGAGGTTAGACAGGCGGCGGGATTGCTTTTGAAGAATAATCTTAAAAATGCTTATACTTCCATGGCTCCTGCATACCAGCAATATATAAAATTGGAATTATTGCCTTGCTTAGGAGTAGCAGACCGACACATCAGGTCTACAGTTGGGACCATAATAAGCGTTGTTGTTCAGCTAGGGGGAATTTTGGGGTGGCCTGAACTATTGCAAGCTCTTGTAAGTTGTTTAGACAGTAATGACCTAAATCACATGGAAGGTGCTATGGACACATTATCCAAGGTAAACGCGATGATTACATTCATTTCCCATGCATATTTCCCCACAGTTCCTTTATTGTGGAGATACATTAGTGTTTTTTTCTCATTGTTCTGCTGTGATCAACTATACCTATGGGTTCATGATTGATCAAGAATTTTGGGTGAAGGATAAGCAAATGTTTTCCAGCTAGTTGCTTGTATGCATATCTTGATACATTTGTAGCTTTCTGTTTGAGGAAAAAAAGATTCTGCCAGGTGCAGCTTTTTGTTTGTCAATTGGCCTTTCTTGCAAGAAGTGCTATTAACTTAAACAAAGTCATGCAGTAATTTAAGTGCTGTAATGCTATTATCTTTTCCCTATAAAGAGGTTCTATTATCTTGAATCATCTCATGCTGGGAGAATAGGTTTCAATAGGACCCTGCTCTAAGTCTACAAAGGGCTAATTGTTTCTGGTATGAAAGAGTATCCTTTCTTATTGTCAGTGGTTTGAAAAGACTCTGTGCTCTAGCTTTTGTGTGCATCAAACCCTCTGTTTTTTATCTTCACCCCTTATCAGATTAAATTCAATGAAGTTCTTTATAGAGACCATTTATGTTATTTTGGTATCACCTTCTGATAGCGTCTAACAAGAACGGATATTGTAACAACTATAGTAGCTCCTAACTGCAGCTCTTAATAGTGATGGCACAATCAGAACCTATTTATGTTTATGACATCGATGTTGTGATGTATTACAGATATGTGAGGATATACCTCAAGTGCTTGATTCAGATGTACCTGGATTGCCTGAACGTCCCATCAACGTATTCCTTCCGAGATTACTTAAGGTAAAATTAAGATTGCTATATTGTGTTAGAACTTTGTGGTTTTTATTCCTTATAAATGAATTTTCTAGCATTTGACCGCATACCACTGAAAGGTTTGGTCGCAAAGGACTTTAAAGTTAATACTTTCTGCCTCCCCTCCCACTTTCTCACTGAACTTATATTATAGATGAACTTTTACTGATAATCTTTTTTTTTTCTTTTGGTCTGGTTGGCTCAACCTGCCTTCCCTTTACACAGTTTTTCCAATCACCACATGCATCGCTTAGAAAGCTTTCCTTGGGTTCTGTAAATCAATACATTATGTTGTTGCCAGCTGTAAGTATATCTCAAATCTCTTGGTACCTTTTCAACCTTTTTCTGATGATTGGGGGTGGTAGAAGCTATGTGTTCTTTTTGATTTCAGGCTTTGCATGCATCCATGGATCAGTATCTTCAAGGTTTGTTTATCCTTGCTAATGACCCGTCTTCAGAAGTGAGGAAATTGGTGAGTGCATAAGCATCGATTTATCTTATTTGGGTTAATTCTGAAGCTAAAGGTACTGCATGGAAGTTGAATTAGCAGTTCCACATTTCAGATCAAAAAATTTTCCTTCAAAGTTAACTTCCATTTACGATTTAATTTGCTTGCTATTCAGTCTTACAATCAAATAACGCTACTATAATGGCTTTACAATGTTGCTTTCATAATTTGTCTTTGTTCTCATCTGCTTTCGTTTTCTCTGTTCAACAGGTTAGTGCAGCATTTGTGCAGCTAATTGAAGTACGTCCGGCATTCTTGGAGGTGACATATTGCTCTGTCATTATAGTCTTGCCCTAGTTTGTGTTATTTCCATTATGTCTGTGCTACATGCATATGTTGTGTATAATATGGAACAAAATTGTATTAATCCGGTATGCATTCTATCAGGCATCTTACTTTATACTTCTATCTGTAATATTTTGGGTTGGTGTATATGTATATACATGTGTGTGTGCATATATATGTGTGTGTAAATATGCACACAAACACATCACAACACATACACACATATATAACCTTACTTTTGATCTTTTTCTCATATTTCTCTGATCATGGTTTTCTTATTGTCATCCATTGTCCTTATCATACTTTGAAGTGACTCTTACCTGGTACTGCAGCCACATTTGAGGAATGTAATTGAATACATGCTGCAAGTCAACAACGACACTGAGGAAGAAGTCGCTCTTGAAGCCTGTGAATTTTGGTACTCTCTCTTAATTGAATATTTTCAGCATTAGCTTATGATTCATTGGTTTTCATAAATTGAGTGAAAAAGTTGGTTTGGTTACGAGGGTCAGTTCATTAGGTTTTGTTTAGTCTTGATGTACGTTTCATAGCCTTTTCACTTCTCTTATAATTCTACTTTCTATTTAGTCTTAATGTATGTGTCAGCCTTTTGCTGTCTCTAATATTCTGCTCCCAAGAAATAAGAGTTACTTTTAGAATTGACAACATTTCGATCATTTGCATGACATTGATGTCATTACCATACCAATATACACTAGGTTTCAAGCATCAACTTAGTAATTAGTATCTATTCATTCACACACCAAGTTATATGCCTCTATACTCCCTCTATCTAAGCTTCTTCCGCATAACTTGCTAATTGTTAATATCAATACTAGGCTGAGGTAGTGGTGAGAAATAGTATGGGTGGTGGAGAATCGAATGTGGTGGGCTATTGTGGTTGGTGAGCTAAGGAGGTAGTTTTTTGACAAGGAACAAGAGTGACGTTTGATGTTTGTAAAAATACCACATTTCAGATCGGAGATGAAATTCCATGAGTGATGATGAGTGATGATGGAAGAGCATGATATGACTACCTTATATGTAAAATAGCGTTTTTTGGATTCCATAGCTTTATCTGTTTCTCGTTTTTCGTGAATCCTGGAGATACTTTTCTTGCTTATATATTGTTATTATTACTTGAAAGATCTCTTCTTGTGGTTGGCATGTACTCAACCTATGTTATTGTATATTATTTTCATTTGACATTCAGTGGTTTGACACAGGTCTGCATATTGTGAAGCTCAGTTACCGTCTGAGAACTTAAGAGAGTTTTTGCCACGCCTAATTCCGGTAGAGCTAATAGTTTGTTGAACTTTATCAAATTTTGATAAACCATACTTACTATGGAGTCTTTGGAATGATTTTTTAACACACCTGGTACAACTTCTGCAGATTTTGTTATCAAACATGGTTTATTCTGATGATGATGAGTCCCTTGCTGATGCTGAGGTTATTTCTGGGTTAATTTATGTTTTTGGGTGATTTTGGATTGGCATTTGTTGTAGTTTGATATTTATTTGGCAATACTTCATTGTTGCAGGAAGATGGATCTGTCCCAGACCGTGATCAGGTTCATACAGACGTATTTTGATTGTTTTATGATTTTTTTGTATCTTAAGTTGCACCCTTGATTTATGGAGCTGATATTTGCACTGCAGGATATCAAACCTCGGTTTCATTCGTCACGCCTTCATGGATCTGAGAACGGGGAAGATGATGTAATTTTACACACCAGTATTTGCTGTTTCTTATTAAAATTGTTTGTTAGATTACTTGGACTCCATTAAATAGTACTCAAAATTTTCTACTTGATGTTGGGTTTAAGTATGAGGGCAGCATGTAGAAAATCTTTTAAATGACATGATTTTGGATAATGACAGGATGATAATATTGTTGGTATATGGAATTTACGCAAATGCAGTGCAGCAGCTCTCGATATCCTGTCAAATGTGTTTGGCGATGAGATTCTCCCAACGCTGATGCCCTTTGTTCAGGTTAGTGATTTGTTTGGCGTTAAAGTAAAATAATTACTTGTGAAGATTTTATTCTATTTTTCCTATAAAAAGAATTTTATTTTTTCAACCTCCCATTTTTTTCTTAAAGAATTGGATGATTTAGAAAATAACTTGGATGGTTCTCTTCATTAGAGGATTACACAAATCTTTAAATTGGAAAGTTACTCAGTTCCCCTCCGAAAAATGCAGGTTCCAGTAATCTTTTGGTTTTCTTAGCTCATACATGCATGTTCATGTTTATTTTTCTCCGTAATCTCTTCGTGAAGTAATTTGAAAATTATGCTTCAAGTTTCTGTTATGTGAAATGCACTGGCAGGACTTGTGTTGTATTTGGGCAGGTGATGATTAAGTAAGTTGAAGAAGATATTCAAATAGATTGCCAACTTGCAACAAGAATGAATTGTAGTTGTACAGCTTCTCTATTGCTGTATGGGTTGGCCTTGCCTTATAATATTGGAAAATAGACATGTATAGAATAGGGCTATCTGGACCTGCTTTTCATCAAATGGAAATGAAGTAGATTTAGTTAGTTAGTAGAATCTTACGATTGGATAAAGGTCAATATAATAGTAAGATTAATTGCCTTGTAAGGTTTTGAACAAGGGGTAGCTAAAATTGTTCTCACTTTTCTAATGAATACTACTGTTTAAATACATGTTGTAACATCTCAAACATTTGCAGGCCAAGTTGGCCACCAGTGATGATGAAACCTGGAAAGGAAGGGAAGCTGCTGTTTTGGCTCTTGGCGCCATAGCTGAAGGTTGCATCAGTGGTCTTTATCCTCATTTGAATGAGGTAATATCATCTGGCCTGATTTTTTTTCCTTATTTAGAAGAGAATTAAATGTTTATTACCATAAGCTTCAATCAACACGAGAATTTCACTTATAAATACACCCAATAAAAACAAAAGTTTTATTTAAAGATTTGAAGCGGATTGTCCTATTCTTTTGTCATTGCTTTTGAGATTTTCTTCATTTGTGTGCTTGCTGTCCATTGGCTTCCTTTTACCACTTTTCCTGGAGAAGATTAGTTTCAAGTCACACCTGCTTATCTGTTTTCCATGCTTAAAGCATTTTAAAATTTCAAAAGAGTTGTCATCTTTATTTTTTATATATGTAGATGTAGATCAATGCTCTCTTTCTAGATATGCCTACTATATTGCATTCTCGGTGCCGCACTGAATTTGGACTACATTTTTAAATAATAATCTCCCCTATCAATTGTTCAGGTTGACAATTTGAAAACTGTCTAGTATGAGAAAACATTTCCACAAATATGCAAGCTGTACGTTTACCCAAATAAGAAGAAACTAAAGCTGTATGTTCTATTATATTGCTCTGTGTACACGTTCTTGATTACTGAACTGCTCAAGTGCAAATTGATTTCCATTGCAGATTGTTGCATTTTTAATCCCCCTTTTAGACGATAAGTTTCCACTTATAAGGAGTATTTCTTGTTGGACACTTTCTCGTTTCAGCAAGTTCATTGTTCAGGTATGTAAATATACCTATGCTTTAACTTTCTTGTTCTGGTATATCACTCAGTTTTGCTATTTCTAGTAATTTGAAAAAGGAAATCTGGAGAGCACATGTTTTCCTTTGCAGATTTTCATGCATTGAAATTTATTCCACTAATTCGTACTTGAATTTTTTATGTTTAAAATTCTCTCTTTTTCTGAATATATATCAGTTTTTTAAAAAAACTAGTTTTAAGACTAACCTAGGCGGTTATGGGGCGGGGCTATGAAGAAAACGACTTTGCCCAGTGGGAATGGGCTATAGACTAGCCCAAATGCATAGGCTATCGCCTTAGGTGCCTAGGTGACCTGGGCATCAAAATTTCTTTTTTTTAAAAACAGCCCAAACGCAAAACAATGCCGTTTTGGGCAGGTTTTCTATTTTTTTCATTATTTTTATTATAAAATTCATGCTAATTTTATGTTTCTAACTTAGTTTCTATTAGTTTACTATGATTTTATGACGTGAATTCAAGAAGTAGTAATAAAGGTCAAATATTTGATTGCTTGGCATTGATTGCTTGATGGTTTTACAAAGTCTATATATATATATCTATATAGACTTTGTAAAACCATCAAGCAATCAATGCCAAGCAATCAAATATTTGACCTTTACTACTACTTCTTGAATTCACATCATAAAATCATAGTAAACTAATATTTGGCTTATATATATATATAGTGTATTAAAATAATTTTAGGTACCGTGAAACTATCGCCTTGAGGCTTTCGCCTAGGTGAGGGTATCCATGAAACGCCTTGGCTTTGCCTTTGCCTTTTGAAACATTGATATTTATGAATCATATGGTTTTTGCTTAATTATAGATATTGTACTTGCAATTTGGCATTTACCCATTTTTTCCTGTCTCAGAGTGCTGGACATCAAAAAGGTTATGAGCAATTTGACAAAGTTCTTGTGGGTCTATTAAGAAGAATACTAGATAATAACAAGCGGGTGCAAGAGGCCGCATGCTCTGCTTTTGCAACTCTAGAAGAGGTTCTTATATAAATGTAGTCCAGTTCTTCCAATAATGTTGTTTAGCTATTACTTATCTGGTTTTAAGTAATGATTATTTATAACCTGCAGGAGGCAGCAGAAGAGTTGGCACCGCGTTTGGAAATGATTTTACAACACCTTATGTGTGCTTTTGGGAAATATCAGGTTTCTTCCTGACCTGTACCATAGAGTTTCTACAATTTGGATGTTTAGAGATTAAACACTGATTTTTCCCATTCTTTAGTTGATTATATATAACATTTCCATATTGTCATTCAGAGGAGGAACCTCAGAATTGTATACGATGCTATTGGAACTCTAGCAGATGCTGTTGGTGGAGAGTTGAATCAGGTATTTTTGAATGATGAGTTATTAAGTTTATCAAATGCGAATGATTGTGCCAATTGACCGTAGTATTGCTTTGCAGCCCACTTATCTTGAAATTCTGATGCCACCATTAATTGCAAAGTGGCAACAACTTTCAAATTCAGATAAGGATCTGTTTCCATTGCTAGAGTGCTTTACTTCTATATCACAGGTACATATCGTTGTTTCTCAGTTGTCTTTTGATTGTTTGCTTTTTTTATTCCGTTCTTTCTTTAGGTGTAATTTAACCCACTACATGTGTATATATGTAAGGCACAATGAAAGAAAAGTAATTTGTATTACTCTTTATTAGTGGTTACTGATTAGTAGATGGAATCACGAAGTTTGGATAGAGAATATGATTAGGGACGACTTGTTTAAAATGTCATTGCCATGAATAATAACTTTTTAGGAACATTATCTGCCTGGGAAGTAACTGAAGTGCATTTTATTGTTACTCTTGTTATTGTCTTTTGTACATGTGACATGTAAGTCCAATAGATATTAATTTTTCTCATTTTAATAATGAGTACTCTATGAGCTAACAGCCTGAAGTAACATTGATTTGAAAAATAATATTAAGTGTTATATCTAGTGGGTACAAAGCTTGATTTGTTTACTTATTTACAGGCATTGGGTGCCGGGTTCTCTCAGTTTGCTGAACCTGTATTTCAGAGATGCATAAGCATCATCCAGTCCCAACAACTTGCAAAGGTTCATTCCTGATCTTTTGATTGTACGTGAATTACGTGATAAGAATGAGCCTTTCACTAATTAAATATCTGGCTGTTTTCTTATGTAGATAACTTCTGTTTCTTTTACTAGGCTGACAATATATCTGTTTAGTTCTACCATGTGCTTTCTACAAGTGACTTCTAGGCCATCTAAGTATTGTCATCCATCTTAATGTGTTCCTTTCCTAGTTTGAAAAAGATGGCTATGTGGAATGTCTCATATATTGTAGGGTTACATATACACACCATAATACGATGTTCTATTAAAAATTTTATCTTGACTGCCTCTTAATGTTTTCAAAGGGGGGAGTAATAGCGTTCTTGCTTTCAAGTCATAGCTTAATTTGTATCTCTTGAAATTGGAGAAATCAACATTCCTAAACAGCTCGTCATGCATATGTGACATCAAAAGGCATAATATTTATCCTGTGATTCATAACTTTATTTGAGCATTCAGAGAAATCAATTTATACACGATTACCTCAATATGTCTGTCTGGAAACTGTGGAAGCCCCAAATGTTCCCAAGTCTCACTACATTCTGTATGCGCCACCTTTGGTATCTCTATTTTAAGTGGTTTTTTATTTTCTTTTCCTTTAGGTGGTGGTAGGAAACATAAACTTTTAAAAATGAGAAAGGCTCGAAGCAAAACCTTTATCAAACCCTAGTAAGTATCAGGTTATGCTAACTCAAAACACTTGCTACACTAAAGGTCCTTAGATAGATGTCTTTGATGCTTGTAAATGTCTCACTATTTTTTAAAGTTTGTATGTAGTCCCTCAGGTGCCTTTAATATATTTCTACACGAAATGCTTGATTCATGAAAAATATGTACATTGGTGGTTCAGCTTGCAAGTTCACATGAGAAAATGTTTTGGACTTCTTTTGCAGGTCAATCCTGTACCCTCCGGGGTCCTGTATGATAAAGAATTTATTGTTTGCTCTCTTGATCTGCTTTCTGGACTTGCGGAAGGTCTTGGCAGTGGGATAGAGAGTTTGGTATTCTTCTTTCTCCAAGTTTCTTTATCAAGAATAAATATGGGATAATGGTATTTTTCATTATTAAGGTTCTCTGCCTGAATTCTTTCTTTTCAGAATTTTATATATTCGGTTCCTAGAAAGGAATTTGCCGAATGTATTCCCAGGGTTTGTGCATCGACCTCTCTATAGTGTTTCAAAACTAGTGCAGCATCTCCTTTGAAAATTACATGGATCCACTCTTATTCAATAGTCCATATTGCTTCCCCTTTTAATGTTTTAGCCTGTTCCATTGTTCAATTACAATATAGCTTGCATATAGAAATGGATTTTCATGTTTTCTCATTTGCTCTGCTCCAGGTTTCACAAAGCAATTTGAGGGACCTGCTTTTGCAATGTTGCACGGATGAGGCTTCAGATGTCCGACAGAGTGGATTTGCACTACTTGGGGATCTTGCAAGAGTAAGTTGAGAATATATCTACCCAATGATTTTTAATTTCTTCAGGTTGGGTTTCTGCCGCATCGGTGTGCATAATTTGAGAACTTAGGTCTAGTAACTTCCCCAAGGAGGAAACTACTAAATAATGTAAGGCTGCAAGGCTACTGTAGTGGAAGATACGAATAGCTGTTAATTTATCTGTGAATGTATTTTTTAATGCCTAACCATGCTGTCTATGATTTGAGTAGGTATGCCCAGTTCATTTGCAACCTCGTTTGCCAGAATTTCTTGATATCGCAGCCAAGCAACTGGTATATAAAAATTATCCGATGATTATTACTATTGCTCATGGTAGTCATGACTCATGATTAATTGATATATTGTGGTACAGAATACTCCTAAGCTGCAAGAAACTGTTTCAGTTGCAAACAATGCATGTTGGGCCATTGGAGAGTTAGCAGTTAAGGTAAACATTTCCATTCATACTGGAGTATTCCCAATACCACATTAAAATCTGGTTGTATGGTCATGCCATGATGTTGGGTAGATATTAGATTTAGATTGTAAAGCTTCAGCTGAGATTTTTTGCAATTTAATGACTTGAAAATTTGTGGTTGATTGCACTCTTTTTAGATGATCATTATAAGTGCATAATGTTATCTCATCTATGGGAGGTCATGGCGTCTGCCATCATATTCCCATGCTTTGGTAAACTGGCACAGAACTTTTTCAGCTTTGTGTATATATCTACTTTAGACAAGCAGAGAGAGCTCTACGTAATAGTGCTGTATGTTAACTCACGCTGGTAGTTAATTTTTCTAGATGTAATGATAGACGGTGGGGATTTTATTAAATTCTGTATTCTTTTCTAAATATAAGCAAGCTGATTCTGTGCACAAACACCATGGTTTGAAGTTCTTAGCAAACTTTTGTTATCAACACACACACACATACACATGCATTTGTCTGTTCGTATAGTCGGGTTGGTTTCTTATGTTTCTTTGAATTTCAGGTTCGTCAAGAAATTTCTCCAATTGTTATGACAGTTATTTCTTGCTTAGTTCAAATCCTTCAGCACGCAGAGGTGATTTCTTTTCCATTATAATTGCAATATGTACCATGGAGGATGTGCCATCTTATAATTGAATCTCTTGATGCTGAGCAGGAGCTGAACAAGTCACTAATTGAAAACAGTGCTATCACCCTTGGGAGGATTGCGTGGGTCTGTCCAGAGCTTGTGGCTCCCCATATGGAGCATTTCATGCAACGATGGTGCATTGCTTTGTCAATGTAAGTTCTATATATCTACATCTGGCATATTAATCACAGCACTCAAGTAGCGCAGCACCAGTTGTAGTAATACAGTATTATAAGTAATGTGTATTGTCCAGTTTGACGATTGGGCAATGGACAATATACTTTCTCATATTGAAGTTAAGAGACAAGATGAATGCTTGAGAAACTATATTGTCCACTTTTCTTTGAAAATGTGGCAGTGACTCAAGTATTATGTCATAACAATGGTCTGCTTCTGACATGCAAAAGTGTTTGTAACAGGATACGTGATGATATAGAAAAGGAGGATGCCTTCCGAGGTCTTTGTGCTTTGGTATGCATCTGCTTTTCTCGATTTTTCTTTTCCATGTATGCGCCACATGAATTTCTATTTACACTTTAGCTTGGATTTCGTTAATTTTTCAGGTTAGAACCAATCCATCCGGAGCATTGAATTCACTCATTTATCTTTGCAATGCTATTGCAAGTTGGCATGTAAGAATCTTACTATTCTCATCTTAGATGTATAAGTGTTTGTGTTTTTGCACAAGCTCAAAGTTGTGATTTGTTATGTTGTATAGGAAATAAAGAGCGAGGAGCTTCATAATGAAGTTCACCAGGTGTTGCATGGTTATAAGCAGGTTAGTGTTGCTTTTTGAGATTATGAAATTGAATTGTTATTTACTTATTTTTTATTTTTCGTGGAAATTTAATAAACACAAACAATATGAAACCTCGCCAAAAATATTTTAGTTTCATAGTGGGAGTGAAAATTTTCATTTTGAGATAGATGATGCAGAATAAGCCCAACACATTTTGATTATTTGTTTCAAATATATAATCCATCAGATGCTTGTGAATGGCGGAGCATGGGACCAGTGTATGTCTGCCTGGAGCCACCAGTGAGGGAAAAGCTTTCAAAAATATACCAAGTGTAGTACTGTACGCATAGCTGATGTATTGTACCGCCTGGCTCTCTCCTCTTATCAGATCTCACAAGAGCTCTGTATTGCGTCCAAACTGTTGATTTTGTGCATCACCATTGCATTGTGGTCAGGATTTTTACAAGCCAGGTCCAAATTTTCAGTCCCATAATTTTTGGGAAAGTTTTGTTGTTGACTCAAATGAAAGCTTGAAGTTAGCCTGGAATTGGTCTGTACAGCGCATGGCTGGACAAATGAATCTGCATAGGCTTCGGACAATATGGTGTACAGTGCTGAAGGTGTGTTTGTTCTTGTTGTCTTGTATTTAAAGAGAGGCAAGAAGTATCTTGTTCCCGTCTTGGATCAATAGATTTTACGTGTTAGATTTAGAGTTTTGCACAATTCTGGAGGTTAGGGTTTGTGTCGGTGATTCCCGCAGATTTGGTACCGCCCGCGGGGGGTAGGCGGCTACCATTTAGCTATTAGAATTTTGCATTAAAGTTTTCCATTGTTTCGTATATTGTTCAGAAAGCTGTAAACTTTATATTTGAGGACGGAACGCAGTTTATTCTTGCTGTGTTAAGCAGCTGTGATATTTGAAACGGCCGAACGCTAAAATGTTCTGTAACAGGTTTGCCTTGCGAATTGATTTGAGTGTGTTATTTGTTTCATCTAAATTTTACGTCTTGTAATAGCAGCAAGGTTTTTGGATGGAGATTCCTCGTTTGAGTTGCAAGGTAAAATGCATCGACTGGCAAGAGTCTAGGTTATGGTTTTTATGCAAATTTTGGCGAAGCGCATACTAGAACTCGTGTGGAAATTGCTTTTATAACACTGTCTATGGTCACAATTTCAGGGTCAGGTAAAGCACTGTCTTGAGAAGCACCTTTTGGATCATGAAAGAGATCTATTTCACAACTTCAAAACATCTAGGTCAAAAACACTTTAATTTGTAATAAAAATTCAACTTGTTTCTAATGAAAGCACCTATGGCGTAAGTGCTCATGAAAGCATTGGAAGCAAGGAACAAGCAATTTAGGTTGGACCTGTTTGGAAGTGCCATATCTAAACTAAAAGCATTAAAAGTGTTTTTGACGATGTTTAGTCAAGAAATTTAAGACGAACGTGGATTACAAAAGCACTTTATCATTAAGGACTTCATAAAGTCTTTTGATTTTCATTTTTTCTTTTCTTTTTGAGGAAGACTAATCCATGGTCCATTATGCGACTAGTAGCTCCAAAAATATAGACGATGAATGCAATAACTGGAAAGTAGAGAACATGTAAATCTATCAATACTTGTCGCCCAAGTAAAAACCTAGCTAACTCTGGAGGGAGCTCCAATTCAAAACCAATAAAGAACATAAATTGTGAGGATAGATGATGATCCCTGAAACAAAAGAAGAGAAAAAAAGAGAAATAAACCACTAAACCAAATAGGTCATCGGCTGGTTGAAATTGCTCGTTCGGGTTTTCACCAACAAAATTAGCTTATAATGATTCAATTACCAGCATTTTGACCCTCATTGCCTACTAGACGCAAGCATAAATAAAACAATAGTGAAGGTCTATCTTGTTTGATAGGTATCTCTAATTGTGAAAAGAACAGGGTACACTATGATAATGTGCAGATTATGCTAAAACGGCACTCACATAATTTGGTGTGTTGTTTCGATAGCAACACACCAAAGGGGCGATGTTCCATGGAATGTGCAATGTAGCATCTCCAACAGATGAGCTCAGTCATAATTCTGGTATTGATAATTGGTCGTACTTCTGGTGATCAGGGGGTTCGCCTGAGAATTAAAGCCAACAAATAGCTGAGGGCCGAGTCTGTTGATGAAAGTGCCACGATGAGTAGCGCCACAAGAACTAGTGTAAGTGTAGCAGTCTTAAGCTGCACAAAATGAATAAAACAACCTCAGATTTGAACTACCAGGAATTGTTATCACTTTTGAATTCGATGAAAGATGGAGAAATAAGTATGCACTGGTTGACTTTAAAACATTGCAAAGTCACAACGTAGGATTCAAAATTCTACACCTTTCAAGTGTAGTTTTGTTTTGTGCATACCGTGCTACGGAAGCCTGGCCATTCGATGTACTTCAGCTGACTAGGCTGCTCAACCAGAAAGACGAATAACAATCTCAACCCCCTAAAGGAAGTAGAAAAACATCCCCAATCAATTAACGATAATTGCAATGTTTTGTTTATCACATATGATAATAGTACATATGCAAGACCACCAATTTGTGGTCCTAGTTATCAAAGGCAATTGACAAATCTATGATCTAACAGGGGAAGGAAGTACCACACTGCTTCTTTGACAAGACTTAAAAAGTAGGGCTCCTGAGGTGAATCGTCATCAATTCTCAATCGACTATGGTCCCCTCCCACAGATGCAGCGCATATGGTGCCTACACGACGTGCAGGCAAATACTGAATCCCTCTTCCTCCTCTAACAATCTGCGATAACAAAGCTCTATCCTCAATATGCAAGCATCCGCAAGATAATTGGACAGAGAGCATAAATTCCATAACAAAAAGAAGAAAAAAGTACCCTTCTGGAAGTTACTGAAACATAATTGCAGTTATTGATTTTGACCCCATTACACTGTCTGATTCCAAACGGTAGTTTAGCGTGACTGGAACGACGAACCAAACCTGTAATGTGGCAGATAAAGAACGGAAAATGTAGATTCAGTAGAATTTCCAACCATGTACCACCCAAAAGAAACAATAAGAGTCCAGGGATAGTAACCTGAACAGAAGCTTGCCACCGACTGCGAAACAGCCGCCATCCTAGGTCAAATTTGAAACAAATTATGAGAAACAAAACACAAACTCACATCCATATACCAATGGCAGCAGTGCTTGCTTACACACACAATCACGCAATTTGAGTCCTAAAATCTACCATCAACAACACATGAAAAACCCACAACCCAAAATAATTAAAAACAAAACAACCCCCAAACAAATTTTCAATTGGGATTCTTCTTTATCTATTCAAATTTAATCTTATAGCAAATTCTTAGCCACCCCATCCCCAAATACTCAATTTTCTTTCAAATGTAGAATTTTTAGGTAAAGAAAAACAGGAAGCTACTGTACCTAACAAAATCTAAAATGTCACCAAATCTTCAATCAAAAATTGGTTTCTGGCAATTAAAATTTGAATTTCACAATAAATTCGCGAAGTACACAGAAAGCCTCCTACTGAGAGAACCCTAGTAAGATAGCACCCGAAACGCACCGTTTTGCTCTACCTAAGTGAGAGAGAAGAGGTGGTGCTTACCTGCTCGACCCGGTCGCTCTGGTTCGCGCGCGCGCGCGCACACTGTCGTTAGTTGTATAGATAGAGAAGGACGATATCAGAAAATGACGGACAATCGGACTGCCACCGTTTTGTTTCTCCTTCTGCCAATGCGCGGCGTTGTAACTAGTTGATGAGTAAATAGGACATCAAATTTAGGACTCGTTAATAAGTGCTTTTAAATAATGAAAAGCATTTTTAGATAAAATATTTTTAGAACTAAACGTTAGTAAAACTGCAAGTTAATTTAAAAAAAATATTGAAGTGTTTCAAAAAAAAATACATAACTAATACTTTTAGCACGAAACACTTCAAGTACTTTTGGAACCTAAAATTATTTTCTCTAAAAACCATTTTAGTCATTTCAAATCACTTGCAAACAAACCATTAGTGAATAGTTTGGTTTGAAATTTTTGATAAATAGCATTAGTGGGTGAAATTTCGTGTACAATTTAATTTGAAATTAAGTTTGCTAAAAACTAACTTTGGGGGAATGTTGCTTTGGTAGATACGAGAATATAGATGGCGCATGCGCTGATACACAGCTACAAACACTGCTAGAAAAGCATACCGCTGAAAATAAACTTAATTACAACAATTAAATAGAGAGAACCCCAGACTTAAAACAAATATTTAGTTTTTTATGCCTACTTTTGAAATTCACATGTAATAACAATATATTTCGCGGTCAATCATACCCAAATAAATCGGAAGTCAAAGATCAACAATATGTTTGCGTACCCGTATCATAGCCAAATAAATAAATAATCGGAAGTCGAAAATTCACATGTAATTTTTCACTTTTCACCCATGGAGACCCAGTGTCACATTCTGATCTGGACGGGACCACTTTCCGGGTCTGACTTCACCGTGGCACGATATTGTCCGTTTTGAGTCCCCAGCACACCCTCACGGTTTTGTTTCTGGGAACTCATATGAGAGCATACTCGCTTAACTTCGGAGTTCCAATGGAACGCGATGTCAGTGAACTCCCAAAAGGTCTCGAGCTAGGTAGAGATGTGAATATACATATAAGGATCACACCTATGGATGATGTGGGATGTCACAATCCACCCCCTTTAGGGGCCCGACGTCCTCGTCGGCACACCACGGTCAGGGTTAGGCTCTGATACCAAATTGTCACATCTCGACCCAGGCGGGACCACTTTCCGGACCTGACTCCATCGTAGCACGATATTGTCCGTTTTGGGTCCCCAACACACTCTCACAGTTTTGTTTTTAGGAACTCACACAAGAACTTCCCAGTGGGTCACCCATCCTAGGAATGCTTTTGCGTGAGTTTCCAAAAACAAAACCGTGAGGGTGTGCTGGGGGCTCAAAGCGGACAATATCATGCTACGGTGGAGTTGAACCCGGAAAGTAGTCCCGCTCGGGCCGGGATGTGATACCCAGATCTCATAAAAATGTCCAGTTTTTTTATGCCTTCTTTATTTATATATATATATATATATATATATATATATATGTATGTGTATATATATATATATATATATATATATATATATATCTGAACTCAAAGAAAATATAGAACGAACATAAAAAAGGAAAATTATGAACGTTTAGAAGCTAATTTCATTAGCAATTAAAGCAACCAAGCTCTCTCAACATCACGATTCAAAACCCCCCAGGAACCCAGAAATTTAATGAAAATTTTTCTAATCATTCAATTGGATTAGACAAAATCATGAATTTTTCTAAAGCCCAATTATATTAAATCACAAATTTGAAGCAAATTTTGACATGTAATAAGTCAATAGGATAGGAATCGCTTTAGACTAACTTCGATGGCAAGGCCTCCGGAATCGCCCGATCTGAACCAAGCTCCTAAGTTATAGGGAGATGCCGTCGATGTGAAATTCAACACGCAAACTTTGTCGCAGCTGTGGTGCTTGGTGGTGGTGGGGGTTCCACACTGGGAGAGACTCGAGAAGAGGAATCTAGTTTTCTGGTTCAGAGAAAAGGGAATGAAGGAAAATAGTGGAGAAGAGGGAAAACGCTATTGAAATCTTGCAGGAACAATCCTAGGTAGAGCTTTCGAAACCAACCCCTTTCTCTCCCTCGAATCATACACCCCCTGTGACTTTGTCTGCCTGCAAGCCGCATGCCTTCCTCTCACCACCAAATCCCTATCTCTCTCCCGACGACATGCTCTCATTGGGTCCCACTGCAGCTCACAAAGAAAGGAAATGAAGGTCTCTAACCAACCCAACCCGTTCGAAACCCTACAGACTAAAATGACCATCGCACCCCTGCCTTTCCACGATCGTCAACACGTGGCATGATGATCAGCGGCAAAGAGAGTCAGTGGTAGCCTCATAAATAAAGTGAAATTTGTCTCCAAAGACTATTCAGTTGTACAGTGCAATTGAAAAGCCTTCTTTAGACTAGGTAATTAGGACTGTTTTAGGTTTGATTGTGAGCTAGTCTGGTATTGTTGTGATTTTCAAAAAGAAATTGTTCTTGTTGTTTTGTAAGAGTAAGCAGCTGTAAAATAAAGTAATTAAATGTTTGGCAAACTTTTTTTTTTTTTTTTTTTTTTTGTAAAAGTGCTTTTAAAAAGTGTTTGAGTGTTTGATAAACTTTTATATAAATGTTGTGATATGTTAAATGACTAAAAATGATATTGTATTTATGGAATTGTTATTGACTACTCCAAAAATCTCATTCTACACTCCAAACTTTCTATATTTGGAAAGAAAAATACACTTGTGAGGAGTGTAGAATGAGATTTTTGGAGTACCAATAACACTTCCTTGTATTTAATGTAATATAATTATTGTCAAGAAAATAATGTAGGGGTTGAGATTGTAATTTTGTAAAATATGTGGTTGTATACTTGCCATTTGAAAATTTCATTAAACAGGCACTGATCACTATGCTTTGAAAAAAAAAACACTTGTTTTAGAAGCATGGTAGATCCTGCTTTTGATTTTCTATACTTTTCTACCGTCATTGACAAGAGTTTTTTAAAAAGCAATTTTTTGTTTGTTTTACCAAACATATTTGATGTTCCAAATTTTTTAATAAGCTTTTTATTTTTTATTTTTTTAAAGCACCGCAATCCCAAATCAACTATATGTATTAGTTAAAATAGAGGGAATGCGATTTTTGTGAATATTAAGTTGATTATGTATTATTAAAATTCAAGTTGTGCATGCATTTACTTAATATATTCATCATCCAACTATCATATATAATATTATCTTATTTTAGTTGCAAATATGATCGATAGATGATGAATGTATGAAATAAATGCACATGTACCGTGATTAATCTCAAATTTTTATTTGAATATGTGATCTCAATTGAAAATTGTCAAATAATAATGATAATAATAATAATGTTTCGTTGAAAGTCCCGACTTCAATTCATCTTTTTCCTTATGTATACAATGCTTACGAATAACCAGTTATGTACTTCTTACATAAAGCACTTCAAGTGCTTTTCGAAGATTAACTTGCAATTCTACTAAGGTTTGATTTTAAAATATTTTCTCTAAAAGGACTTCCTAAACGATGAGAAAGAGCGAGCAAGAATGGAAAAATTGTTATTAATATAGGGGGTGCTATCCACATACCCCTTTTTACTTCCCTTACACTTTTTTAATTTTCGGCCATCGGATCGAATAATTGAAGAATATCAAATGACAGAAATTAATAAAAGATGTGTGAGAAGTAAAAAGGTATGTGTGGATATCACACACATTAATATAATCATGTGTAACATCCTAATGTAACCTTCACTTATTTATTCAGGAGAGATCTTCAAAACCAAAACCTAAAGAGCATGAGCAAATTTTAGGCATGTTTCAAAGGCTTAGCAAAGTGTAACATGACTATATATGCTCAGAATTAGGTCAAAATTATGAATTTTTTAGTAACTAGAGGAGAGTCGAACTTGAAACCTCTTCTATCAAAAGAAACATATATATATATATATATATATATTACTTGATTGAAAGTTTGTTGATAAGTTTAATCTCTTTTGAAGCCGCAGAGCACAAATATATAAATCCTTATAAAATTATAGACAAATAGAAGCAGAGCAGTGAGCAATGACACAAAATGCACGCTGTGGTGGAAAAATATGGGTACACATATTTTCAGACAAGCTTGTTACAATAAGACCTACAAAAACACGTATAGGTTCGGAGACAGGATCTTCCAAATATATTATAAAAAGAAAAAAAAAAAGAAGATAAAACGTGTTACGTTGTATGTTCATCTACCCAAACCTTCAAAGTCTGCCGCCCTGCCTGCGTTGTTTCCAACTTCCTTGTAATCCTCACAACAGGAAAATACATCCTTGGCCAGTCTGAGCAGTCTCCATATATTGCACTTAATTAACAAACAAAGAATTAGGTAATAACTTTAATATAATTTGACCTGTCTTCGTCTTTCAATTTCAATTTTTCACCACCTTCTCATCCACCATCTTGAAATCATGTAAAGTGACATGTTTACGCATTAATATAAGTCTTATGTGTTTTATTTTATGATACTATACTTTCAAGTTTTAATCTGTTGCCAATTCAGATTATAATACGTGAAGTGATAATATCATGCGATTGCATTGCGATACACACAGTAATTAGCTTGGTTTCATGTGGGGAATAGAATAGTTGTATCTTGTTTCTAAAGCCCTCATTAACCACAAAATATAAAGTTTCTCCACACGTCGTAATTTGATTGGTCTGCAAGGGGGAATAACTATTTACATGTAAGGAGCTGAGTTTATAATAAACCTTCTTCAATGGGTATGAAACCAAACCCAAAAAAGCCAGTAGAGACTACTTGTTGCATACACACAAGAAATGTTGTGGTTGGAGGAACTGAAGCTTGGCTGCTGCTGCCATTTCTATTCTGTCCCATTTCTCCTTCCTCTTGATTTCTGCTTGCTTGGCCTTGGATTCTCTTAGCTCAATTTCTTCAAGGCATTTGGAGTACAAAACTGGATCCATTTCTTCAAGCATCACCTTCACGTTTTCGGTCAGTTGCCGGACGCTTTTGCTCCAATGCCACTTCAAGTTCTTCTCCATGCCTTCAACCACGACCGGAAACACTTCCTCCATTGCCACATATATCATCTTCACAAAGTGCTCATTGTTCCAAACATAGAGGGCTCTCTCTGCTACCTATGAGTACAAAACAATATAGCACCTTTTTAGACCATAGTTAAAGACATGACATTTAAACTTAAAGGAATAATGTAGTTTCTATGATTGGCAGATAAAGAGGAACAACTCAACTGTAAAGAGCCAAGCGGCGTCGTTCTGCATTTAAGGAGGAATGTCTCCTTAATTTCGGAGATTATAATACTTACCAAGGGAATTCAAATAGGGCGTTCAAAGCATAGTAGAATTCCAAGATTTCTTTTCTCTAGTACATGGAGGGAATCGAGCAATTGACATAGCCTAATCATAACTCATTTGCCAACCAACGCCTTCACCACTTAGGCTAACCGCAAAGGCTTGATTTCAAGAGGGTTTTACAGGGGCACAGTTTCATACTTAAAAAGGACTCAAGAAAGTAGCATTCAGCACATGCAGTCTTTACTATTTCGATTTAAATTTCAAGCATTGGAAAGAAGAGAGTACTAATTTTTTTAGGATTTGTTAATTATTTAATGTTAGCATAGGAAAGAAGACAGATATTAGAATTTTGATATGTGATTGAAAACTTGGCAATTCCAATCCAAGATAGCTATAACGTCTTGATGTTCTTCAAGTTCCTTAAAAACTAATGGATGTAACCAAATCGTCAGCACGAAAACTAAACCTTCCTTAGTCAAGCATTTAAAAAAAAAGAGTACTAAACTATTATGACTTAGCATTGATTTTCTGTTTGTTTGCAAAGGAAAAGAACGCTGAATTTGTGAATCGTGCTATTCAAAAAACCATCAAGCCAGAAGCAAAATTAAAACTTTGTACCTGTGAGTTCCAACTGTTCAAGCATCTTGTTATCCTTAGGCATAAAGGCAGAGCCAACTTCCTATACTGATCAGGGTCAATATTCTCCACCAGCTCCTCCAGCTCCCCAACCAGCAAAACCTCCTTCTGGCAATTCGTCACGGGCCAATACCTCAAAATCCCTCTCACCACAATCCCGCCAAGCACGGGCTCCTTCTGCACAAACTGCGACACGCAATAAGCCAGCTGCCTGTGGTAGCTCTGCATCCCTTTAGCCTTGTGGAAAGGAATAAGCACTCTCATGAAAAACAGCTTGTGCTCTTCCTTCAGCGGCACAGTGAAGCCATTGATTATGCTTCCCCATATCTCAAGCAACTCTCTGATCCCACAATGCCGCTCTGTCTCAAACACATAGTGCAAGAACACATCGTTCATAGATTTCCTCATGAAGGAACGGTAGAATGTGAATCGAGAATATATTTTATGGTACACATTCTTCAAGCTGTCACGCTCCCTCGGGTCTTCTGATTGGAAGAGGACAAGGAGGTTGACAACAAACTGGTGGTCAATGTATCCTCTGAGTAACTTAGGATCGTTGTTGATCACGATGCGGATGAGGATGTCGTAGACTAACTGCAGGTGCGACCACACAGGGGAAAAGGAGGATATGGGGTCCTCATCATCGGGAAAGTCCGTAGCGATTGTGGGATTGGAAGGAGGAGGGAGAGGCCGGAAAAGGTTTAACGATATCATGGAAATGAGAGACGACATGACATGATCATGCAGAGGCTTTTTCGAGGTTTTGACAATTGAGAGGAGCTGCAAAAGCTTTTGCCCTTTGAGTTCTTGTTGCGTTGGGCATTCGCTTGGATCGGTGAAGGTGAAGATAAAATGGCAGACGGAGACTGCTGATAGGATTTCTTCATTTTCCACACTGGAAGAAGATTGACTGCCAATAGTACTATTGGAGTTGGCAATCTTTTTTCCGCAGTCAGAAGCGCTTTTGGCATCGAGATCAAATAGGTGTTGAAGGGTTGCGGATTTTCCTCTTGGGGAAGCCCTTGGCGAAGCCCTTGGTGACGCTCTTGGAGTGTTGTTTTGAACTCCCATTTTTTTTTTCTTCTCTTCCTCTAAAGCTTTTTCTCTATCCAGAAAAGTACCTCATCCCAAACTGCTTATAAAAGTGCTTCTTTGGTTAGTTTTTTTTTTTCACTAGCTGATGAAACAAGGGCCAAAACGACAGCGGTGTTATATAGACAAAAGTGTTGTAAAATCCGATGGTTAATAAAAGACCGTAATTTGTTGATAAAAAACAAAACCCAAAAGACTGCAATTTTGACATAAACCTAGTTAGCTGGTAAGGTAAGGTTATTAGGTTAAGCCAACACATGTTAAGGGATTTTTCACAATAAGCCTCGGAATACTCTCTTTAATGATTAGATTACTGAACATAAGCTCAAAAAGTTGACAGAGGATTTTACAATGTGATCGTCAAAGTGTTTCTCACTAATATTAACAGTTGTTAGGAGCTAACTAACAATTTGTTTAAGGACTAATTGAGTTTACCGATCTTTCTTCGCTCTTGAGTGTGTGCCATGTGGAATGATGTTACTGCTAAGCAACAAGACAACATGTCATAAACATTGGATGAGGATCCTCTTCGAGACTTCTTTGTGAGGATCTTAGGAAACAATTTATCTTAGTCATTTATCGTACGTGCAGCTAACTTTTGTTAGGTATTATTTATGTTCAATTTAAGTAAAAATTTCAAAATAATTTCTTGTCGCATGATAATATAATGAACGAATAGGATAAATTGATCATCTTGATAAATTGATCATCTTCACAAAGAGGATCCAAATAGGATCCTATTCCATAAATATTAGAGAAAATTAGAATCCCCTACGGTTTTTCTATATCATTTAGACTAAACATTTGTACCTTTTTAAAATTTGATTAAAGTGCTTTGACCATTAGCCACCACACGCTAATTTACATGTCATTATTATATTTTTTTTAAGTAAAATAATTTTTGAATTTATTCTTTTATCTGCATGATGCACTTTGCCTTATTTAGTGGAGATGAACATTTTATGTTATTTCTTTTTCCAAATGGTTTTTTATTTTCAAATAGTTGGTGATCAACATAAAAGCTCCGTGTAATTTTTTCAATTTTTTGTGAAATTATATTTTTTTGCTGTTTTTTTAAGTATAGTTGTTGACGAATTATTATTAGTTACAATACATTACGTATATATTATCTGCGGGTACGTTTGAATTTACAAAAGTCATTAATTGGTATGTTTATTTGCAATTTTGGTATGTTTGATTTGATACATATTGTTAATATTGGTACATTATTTTTATTTTGGTACGTTTTATTTTGTACACATTATGTATTGGTACGTTTATATTTTTCTCAATCCTATTTTCTCTTAACATACTAAAAGAAAAACTTATTTCGGTATGTTCGATTTTGTGGGATTTAAAAATATTTTAAACTATTTTGGAAAGAAAATATCTTAAATCTTAGATAATTATTGCTAAATTGTAGTATTAATGTGAAAATAAATTGAATCTAACCAACCTTTTTTTTTTTTTTTTTTTTTTTTTTTTTTTTTACAATTATCTCTAATGGAGAATAGTGTAATAAAAAAGCTAGATTATAGGAAATTTGTTACAATATAATGTGCATATAGCACCAAAATTATGATAAAAAAAAATTTAATCAAATCACTAAAAGACATAGGATATTTGATCTAAAAAATTCAAAACTAAAGCGCCCATATCCAAAGGAGTAGGATTCGCTCCCCTCCTATTCTCATCATCTTCCCTCCCTCCTCTCACACATTGTTTTTTGTTTTATTGTCTTTATAAAAAAAAAATTAATATAAGATATTGACGTAATTTAATCGTAACCGTTCAAGTAGGAGGGAGAGAATCCTCCATATCAATTCGCATGTGCCTCACTAACCTGTCTTCGACATTTTTGTGTGGGGTCCACAGTGTAGGAACAAAATACAAGCAGACTTTCCGTACAAGGGACTGTTTGGTAAGCAAAGCAGATCAGAGTGTGGTAGTTTTAGTACAAAAGTATTTTTATTGTACCACTTTTCAAGTGCTTTTTGAAAAACGCTTGGAAGTGCTTCATAAACTAACATCTATCAAGTGCTTCTTTTCAAAACACCTTCTATGAATTAAATGCTCTTCTAAACTTTTTGTCAAAGTCAGAGACAACCAATTATTTCAAACACCAAATGGTTACATTTATTGATGGAATCATGCTACAACACTATACTGATCATATGCATTGTGGATGTCTGGAAGGTCAGAATTCGTGGAGAAATTAAGCCACCTCTTTTGTTTCGTGTACTCGATGCAAGGCTGCAGAAGCAGCCCAATGATCACCGCAGCGATGCTAACAGCCATTACCTTTGGAGTAGCAAGAGCTAAAACTACAAAGATTAACACCGCCGGAGGAATGCAGATCAAAATTGCTCCCACTGTACCCACCGGTATCTTAAAAGGCCGCGATGCAGCTGGGTGTTTCATCCTCAACTTCACAAACGCGATGAATTCCATTATCATTCCAAAGCAATACAAGTAGTTCTCAGCAGCTACAATCTCTTGGAAGCTCAACCAGGAAAGCAAGATCACACCGGACGCAGAGAATAAGATTCCGGTAAGCGGTGTGCCGTAACGAGATCTTTTGGCAAAGATTGAAGGAAGCATCCCACGTTCTGCCATACCCAAAAGTTGAAACGAGTCGCTGCTCATTTCAGCCACAAACATACCCATGTTTGACAAAGCAGAAGCTGCTAGGACCCAGGTTCTTAACCATACACCTCCAAGCATTTTAGCAATATCTGCAAAATACCCATCTGACCATAGTTCGCGTTCAACTGGAACAGCTCCGGTACCAATCAGAAGAGGGAAAATGTATCCAACGACAACCAAGATAAGGGCATAAAAGAGAGATTTCGGAAGAGTTGTACCAGGGTTTTCCACCTCCCCTGCAAGAGTACTAATTGAATCCCAGTAATTAAGATTCCAAAACAGCGTGTTCAAGTACAAAGTCCAATTCACAGTCTCCAGGTTTACCACAAACCAATTTGAAGGATTTAGTTTGGGGATTGCTATAAATCCCATGAATATGAAAGGAAGAAGTGAAAACACCCCCAGTAAGATAGCTGCCCAACCCACTATTGTCAAACCCCTGTAGTTCATGTAAGTGAGCATTGCTGTCAAAACCAACACGGCAACTGTCCTTGGGAGACCGCTTTCTAAAGCCGGAATTGCTGATTTGAGATAGTCAAGAAACAGAACAGGGTATAGAGCGTTATCAATCACCCCACTAAGCCATTTTACCCATCCTTGCTGAAAGCCCCAGTACGGTCCCAAAGCCGATGAGACCCAAACGACATATCCCCCATTCTCAGGGAACATAGTACCCATTTCTGCAGTTATCAAGGCCTCTGGAACACTCCATATGATTGCAAAAACTAGAAAACCAAGAAGGGCTAAAAGGGGACCAGCTGCCTGGACACTATCTTCGACACCAAATGGACCTCCTGAGACCTCGTAGAAGATCAAGAACACAAGAGGTATGATTGAAACCTTTTGATACTTATGTAAGTCGTGAGAGGATCCTTCCCCCAAACCAGAATACTCAGCAATATTGTTGTCCAACATTTGCCTAATAGGTGAGTTTCTATGTTTCTGCGCATAATGTAGTAAACATACTCTTACGAAGTGCCATGGATTACTAGATTTCGACTGTTAAAGTGAAAAAGGAACCGAATACTGCAGAAGCTAACATTGTTCCTAGTTATTATATCTAAAGCCATCACTTGCCAAGCCATAACCTTCAAGCAAAGACAATTACTTTCACAGTTTAAAAAAAAAAAAAAAAACATAAATTTAACTGAATTCACAACAGGATTAAGAAAAACTATACAAAAAGAGTATAATTTTCTACAATTCCAGAATTCCATTAATTGGGAAGAAGATAAATTCCTTGTTAAGTCTTTGTCATGCAAGAAATACAAAATTGTTTACTCAAATCACAAACGCTCATTCCATCAAGCAATGAATTTCAGCCACAAAATACAGGCAAACCGGCAAAAGAATCACAAAATACAAACACCCACCAAAACTATCACTTCAAATTGATAAAAACTAAACAAAATAACAATGTGGGTTCTCTCAAAGCAGCCATATAAAGCAAAAATCTCACATCCCAATTGGGCAAATTCCAAATTAATACAGCATCAATGAATCAATTAAGAAAACCCAATGGGGAAATGTACCTCTCTTTCTGGCTTAACAATCCGCGACCGATTTCAAGAACAAATCAGTGAAGAAACAAAAAAGGCCAAAAGGGGGGCGGGGGCGTTGAGAAAAGAAGAAGAAGGAGGAGCTAACCATGAAAAGGAGGCAAGAGAGAGAAGTGGCCCAATCGGATTTGCGGTGCTTTATCGATGCGTCATGATGTCAGAGAAGCGAGCATCTGCGTCTCCACCACGCGTCGGTCTGAGTGGACACACACGAATCTGATTCAGCTGCGGAGTGAGAGCGCTGCATCGCCGACACAGTTGGACACGGCTGAAGGTAACACAGATTTTGAAGGAGAAATTTTATTTGAACATTTAACTTTTTTCTGAACTTAACTTACTTTTCACATTCATATTATTTTTTATTAAAGAATTAATATCTTTTTAAATTTAAATTTATTACTTAAATTACCTTCTTAAACTCAGTTCAAAATGTAAAGTTATCTTTACTATTACTACTGTTTTTTTCTGCTACAAAACCAAGATATTTGCTCTCTTTACCAAACCAAGACACATGCGCGTTGCTATCAACACCTAACCCCCATCACCTTCTCTTATCAAACCAACTTTCCTCTCCGCAAATTTTTGTTCTTTCGGAAAAAAAAAAAAAAAAAAAAACAACTCTACTGTTAATGTAAGTTATCATTGTTTGCCTGATCAATTGTTTTCTCAAAAATTTGAAGCACTCCTAGCTCTGGAACTAATTATCTGGGATTAGGCAATTCATCTTTTCCTTACTTTCTGATCAATTTGTTTCTACAATTTGTTGGATTATAATAAACGAGTTAATTGATCGTTTAAATGGATGAAGAAGTTAATTGTAAATTCTAATGAGAAGCTGCAACCATTAGAAGCTGCAAAAACCAAGTGCTTACAGATGCAAGTATAAGAAGAGCCATAAGACCACCAAACCAGCACGACAACAAATTGTCAAACAAGCACGGTAACAAATTGACAAACAAGCTTGGCAACAAATTGAGTCATACTTTAGTTGAAGAAATCAAAACTTCAAAATCACCGTCCATCGATAAAAAAACTTATTTTTCTCTATAAGAACTATTAGGATTTTAGCTAAAATGAACGTAGAATAACAAGGAGTGATGTATGGTTTAATCATAGTGGGTGGGTTTATTGATAAATTTTAATTTTATTTTTAATTCATCTTGTACTTGATGATAATTATACAATAAGGTAAAAATGATAATTAACATTTAAAATTTAAATTAAATATAGAAAAAGATTACATGAATTTAAATAAAATTTCTCATTTTTAAGCGTTGCGTTTTATTACAAGGACCGTTAGCAGATGGAATGTCAGATACGCAAAAGCATGTTTATCGTTTTTGATTGAAATGGAAAAAGGAGTTTTACTGAAGATCGGGTTACCAACGAGACGTGGTTGATTTTGGACCGTTAGTAACTACGAGTCTTATTATGATCGATGGTTGATAATCCCCCACCTGCTTAACATGCATAATAGTTTGTTAAATAATGCTCATGCTTAGACATTAGTATGATGAGTTAGTGTTTTTTAAGAAGATGTAATTTTAAATCTCGTGAATGACGGATTTAATGTTAATTTATTCTTTTTATTATTTAGCATAGAGCATCTTCAGTAAAAATATATAAAATGCCTTGAAACTAGTATTCCTTTAAATTTTTAGTTGGCTGTAAAACATTCCAATGGCGGAATGTAAAATCTATTATCGTGTCTTTGTCACTGCATTATAAGCTCACCTAATTCATGCAGGATATTCCGAAGATGGTGTTTTGGCGCCCTTTAGGATTCATTGGGTCACATAAGTACATTTCATTGAATTTTTAAGCTGGAAAATAGAAATCAATAAAATATTGAATACTGATCGCAGTTTGATCTTGAAATTGGACCTTCCAATCAAAATGGACCCTTAAATAAAATATCAATTAATTTGATTCCTGAAAATGGATCCTACATATCAATTTGGTCATTCATTCCATTAGCTTTTCATCCAATTTTATGTTAGTGTGTTAATATGGCACATAAATGAGTTCTATTTATTCACTCATATGTTCACTTTAGTAAAATCTGCTTGTTTTTATTTTTTGTTTCTTTTTATTTGTTTTATCAAAAACTTGCTTGTTTAACCACGAACTGGTGGTTCAATGGTAAACGACGGATTGCCAGGTTTTCTTCAAACTAAAAATTAGAGGTCTTGAGTTCAAAATCTAATGCTGGTGTGGAAGTCAAACTTGTGGCCAGGGGGAGGCTGAAATGCCTCTGTGAGTCTTCTTGGCCTCCGGAAGGAGTGGATAACCATAATTTGCCACTAGTTGTCTCTTTGTTAAAAAAAAAAGAAAAAGAAAAAAAAACTTGCTTGTTTGTTAGATATCTCTTTCAAGCTTTGCTCTCATTTTTAATGCCACTTAATATACCTGTTTGTTTATTAGCTCCCTTATATTTGTATTTATTGAATTAAGTAGAATGAGCAACAGACCAAATACATAAAATACATGTTTTGGTACCTGTTGACTCTAAAAACTACCAAGCCTACATGGCGCGTATGTCGAGTAATTAATAAGCTAACTGCATCCTTTGGTTGTGTCCAGGGCATGCCAACTCGATGGCCGAGCTTGGCCGGGGAGTAAAATATGCTAATGTCGCAGTTAAGCGCACTGCTGACTTCTTAATCTTGCCATTGCGGCCGAGCAAGGAACACGTCTCGACCTTCGGGTTCTAGAGCTTGAAGACAAGGCTGCTAGTTCTGCAAAGTTCACAAATCGTCAGCGTCGAGTTCGGTCACGGTGATTATATCCGTGAGAGTATAAGCACGTCGAACTAGCACCAGACTATATGGACACAAATACTCGAAAGAGATGTATGTCTTGATGGTAAATGTGGTTCGGCCGTCGGAATGCCGAACTCTAAAGTGTACTTGCAAATATCCAATCATAAAACAACTCGGCATTCAATGTGTCGAGCCTAGTAACCTGTAACACCTCACTTCACCGAGAAGACTGATAAGATGACCTCTACCAACAAGGACTTGAAAATCCTTGTCGATTGAGACTTAGATAAATAACCAGTCGGTCTCGAACCAGTGTTGTTTATCCAAATTGAAGGTGCTCCTTGATTGGTTGATTTTACGACTCCAGTATTGTTTATCCAAACTGAAGATGTTGCCAGTTGCCTTCACAGTACTATTTATCCAAACTGAAAATATGTTGATGAGAAGAAAAGGAAAGAGGATAAAATCTCAAAGATTGTTGAGAAGCTTTGCATAAGACAATTTATGTGTTGAATTGGAAGGACCTCAATATTGCCTACGACTCTGTATTTATAGCATCCATACTTTTTTCTTGGCAAGGCCTAATAATTTCGTAGAAACCAATCGAAACTCAAACTCGTAGAATTAAGGCTGATCTGTGGCATAGGTTAAAGCCTATCTTCAGATGGTTGACTTTTCAAACAAAATAAAAACCTGTCCCATCACCCATCCAAAAGCCTATCCGTGGCAGACTTATCCCATAATAACCAAAAGCTTAGCCTACCTAGGCTTCTTACCTTATCATAATTCCATCAAATCATGTCACCAATTGAATTCATAATGCACATTTCCTCTGATGAAGACCATGTACATACATGATAGATCCTTCACCTAAATTAAACTCTGAAAAGTGATTCTAATTGATGAAATATAATACCATATCTCATGATAAAGTCACGTGCTATAACCCCATTCACTCCAACACGCCCATGAATTCCAAGCCAATTTGAATTGTACCACCCACTTCAATATCAAAGATTGGACTTGGTTTTGATAATAATTAGCCACGTAGGAGATTGCATGCACCTGGGGCTTTGATATGATGAGCTTATTCGAATGTCTTCGTGCAATCCTTTGACAATGGATCAGATCATCTCTTTTCAAAAAAAAACCAGCTGGATATACCTAATATTAGGTGTAGATATCCTAATATATATTAAGAGATAATATCATAATTAAAATCACAATATTAATTGAAAATCATTTCAACCGTTTTGTCATTCAACAGTCTAAAATTCTACTCATTCAACGACATCGATTACTCAGATTGATGATGTAATTTTGAGTCCAAACAGTGACACAAACTATGAAATCTTGAGGTAAGAGACAATACTTCATAGAAAACAACCAAGGGAGCCCATATCCACACACCATTAGAATTTTAAAGCTGAAAATAACAGACAAAGCAACCATTTTGCATATTAATCAAACTGAAAAGAACAAAAAAGTAAAGACTTGCCGTATCTTGGAGATTGGACGATGCCCACCGTCTTTTACCACGATACCCATTGTTATGAGCTTCAAAGCTCAAGATACCTTCGAATTTTCTACTAATTTGTTGATTACGCCACCGATTCTTCATATTCTCTCTTAGATTCTAACCCTAGAATGCCCACCGCCAACCCCATATACGTTCTCTGTGGCGCCCATGCCTTCCTCTTCTATCTAGCAACGATTAGGTTTTGTTGTGGTATAAAATTACATTTTTGTCTTCAGATAATTGTCATATGACGTGCACGTGACTAAGATAGATGAAAAATTTTGAAACCTCATGTCAGATCGAGAAATTAACAAATTATAAAAATTTAGAGGTAATCGTTTAAAATTAAAATTTAAAGAAAGAATTGGCGAATACCAATCACGTGTTTAGAAAAGAGTTCCATTTATTACATGGTGTTAGGAATGTTCAACATTAATTTTAACAAAAATGCCACGAAAGGTGGTATTCATAGATTTTACAAAACCTATTAATTTATGTGAGAAATGTGCAGCATACTATTGAGTTTCACATGATCTTTTGCATGTCATAATTAAAGGGAAGAGATCCCTTCCAGATTTCTCTCACCAAGTTTTAGGAATTCGAAGATCCGAACTATTGAAATTTGATCAAACGGTTACAAATAGGGGGCGCCCCCTCTAAAAATTATAATAACTATAGCCGTTGAACCAAATTTCAAGGATTCGGATCTCTAGATCCTTGGGACTTTGTGGGAGAGATCTGAAGGGGATCTCCTCCCATAATTAAAATGTATAAGCCATTTGGACAATTAAGGTCAGAAAAAATTACTGATGGAGCTCAAAATGTAGCCAAATGGAGTTTTGTTATCTATATGTCCAGGGATGTCCTGCATTAATCTTAGGGCAACGAAAATAAGTTTTATGAGCAACATTTTGTGATGACGAATGAAATTATTAAACTTTCACATAGATATTTTATGAGTCGAGCAATTTCTTGTGTTTAAAAACAATTTCACGGTTGCTTATTGTTTGGGGGATGGGCAACCCAATCAACTTTTTCCTCCCCAAATCACTCTAGCTCACTCAAGCAATTGGGCTTAAGGCGAGCCATATGGAGAAGTCAGGCAATTATCGCCTGGCCTAGCACCTTGCATATGTGACGCAAGGCTCAGCCACAATTTAAATTATTAGAAAATTGTAAAAATTATAAAAAACTAATTAAAAATATAAAAGTATATATATATATATATATATATATATTTTTTTTTGGTTTATAAATTCCTCAGCCACGTCATCTCTTACTTAACGGATTTTCTAACGGATGTATGAAATTGAAATAAAATGATAAGTAAATGTATGAAATTGAAATGTTTTAAAGATGTTGTATGAGGTTGTGATCGACCCCAAACCTGATAGGTAAAATGTAATTTATCCATAAAAAAAAAAAAAAGTGGGAGAAATGTGGGCCAGTATACATGTGGCAACCAAGAAACAGTTACATCAAGATGGTGCAGTTAAAGGATTTGGATCCTCTCCTGAGCAGGGGGTTTGAATTCTCTTGACCCAATAACATGAGTTGTTGGATTTTGATCTAATGACTACAATTATTATAACTTTTAGAGGGTTTGTAACTGCTGAATCAAAATTCAACTGCTTGTGTTATTGAATCAGGAGGATTCAGACCCCTTGCTTAGAAGAGGATCCAAATCCGCGGTTAAACTGGCCGAAACACCCCACTACGTAAGCTACTTGACGGTCCTGGATAGAATTAACGGCAACAGGGTAAAAAGCTAAAGGCACCTGTTTTGACTGAAAATACGGGGCCTAAAAGCTTACTTCCGAAGCCGACAATTTAAGATGGTTTTGGTCATTTTTGGATGGTGGCCTTAAATGGCTTAAGGATAACTAAGGGCAAACTTGTCTTTTAATTTTTGGTTTAATTTTTTTTAAACAAACGATCTTATTACATTAAGAGAGGAGTGATGGACTTAGCCTCACTATGAGTTATTAATAATGTAGTTTAAATTCGTTTTTAGCTAAAATTAAACCTAAGATTTTTCACTTACAAGTAAAAAAGAATATCACTAAATTATAGTACTAAATGATAAGGGAAACTTGTCTTTGGGTAGTGAAATTTCATGTGGCATAGAGGTATCCTTGATTGTAGACCACAAATGAAGACGTTTTGGTGGGGATGATGAATGCTAGGGTGTGTCACGAAATACTTTACATAGAAGAGTAAGAGAAATAAAAAGAGACACTCAAACAATCAATCCAACAACAATTCTCAAAAACTAATGGAGACAACTTCTTCATTAAACCTTTATCAAATTAAGCTAAAGATTTTTTAGTGTGTCGAGAACACGGCTCAGTAGATCAAGTGTCAAAATACAAGTGGTTGAATGCTTAAAAAAAAATTTCAACCACTTATATTATGACACTTAGTGAATCAAGTCGTGTTTCCAGCACACTATAACATTCTCCAATCTAGCAAGCTCTCTCATCTTTTCAATGTTAAAGCCCTCATTCATTTCATCATAGTTTTTTTTTTTTTGGTCAATTATTCCTCTTTATGAATGTCCATCTTGTATTAGCTTTTGTTATATTAGTGCGACTCTCTCTGAATCAACTATTATCAATTCAATACAAGAACTAAAGCAATTTTTTTTTTTTTTTTTTTTACCTCTTTGAATCAAAACTTGAGCTCCTAGTTTTAAAGCCTTAGTTCACCATTTACATATTGTGATTTAATCATCTACAAAAGTAAAGTCCTTAATAGAAAAGATAAAGAAAGAATCTAAAGTTGAGTCACTCTTAGTAAATGGCACTATCTTTTGGTTAGAGATCAGACAAATGTAGTTTCTATCACATACACGCTATCTACTGCGACAACTAATGGTGACACACAAGAGCCATGAAAAATTAGGGGCAAACAACACTTGTTTTAGTTCCATATGTTAAGTGACGATTTTTCAAATTTAAAAAGCAAAATGAGACTCAAATTCTATCTTAAACGGCGATAAATATCTAGCGGACCATAATGTGAGTTTGTGAGAATTTGGGCTTCACTTCACTATTTTCACGGGGTCGACACCTTTGAGTTTATGCAAAAATAGGTCTGATATATTGTATTCTTTTTTAAATTTTATATTGCATTGAACAACTGTCACATCCCGGTCCGGGGCGGAACCACTTCCTGGGCCCGATTCTACCGTAGCACGATATTGTTCGTTTTGGGCCCCAGCGCACCCTCACGGTTTTGTTTCTGAGAAAACACACGAGAACTTCCCAATGGATCACCCATCCTGGGAATGCTCTTGCGCGCTATTCGCTTAACTTCGGAGTTCCCATGGAATCCGAAGCCAGTGAGCTCCCAAAAAGCCTCGTGCTAGGTAGGGATAAGAATATACATATAAGGATCACTTTCCTGAACGATGTGGGATGTCACAACAACCTTGTGTAACCTAAAGTTACACTTTATACTTTCTCATGACTTTATACAACAAAAATGCAAAAGATGATTCATTCATCTAAATCCAACCATTAAAAAAAGAGCCTATCAATTCAACGGCTAATAAAATATTTTTTTATTAAATATAAATTCATATGATAAAATTTTCGGTGAAGAAATAATTTTTCTTCTGCTTGGAAAAAAAAATCGGTGGCAACTGTCAATCATTGTATGGAGTCTGAAGTGAGAATTGTTGACCTAAAAATATAAATCTAATTCGTCTTTTTCTATTTTTTTAACAAACGTAATTATTTTCAAAAAGAAAATAAGCTTAGTCGTATAATAAACTATTAATAATATGATTTAAGTTCTTCTTTAATGAAATTAAAAAGAAGAATTTATAGTGGACTGTTCATGAATCTAATTGAATATACAACCCAAAAACAGCAAAGCAAAAAGAAATTTCATTCGCAAGTGATCCTTTACCACATGAATAAAAAGGAGTTGAGATTTTGTATGATGACGGCGTAGATTCGAATCTTGTAGATGACTAATCTAACAAAATCAAAAAATTTCATTGACTCAATCCGATAATAACTAGACACGTGCGGTCCCCACATGGATCCACCCCTCAAAAAGCGCGTGCACCATCTCCTACTCCCGCTTCACACAAGCTCCCGACGCAACACAAGAACCTTCCCGATTCAGTCTTCTACTCCGTCTCTGAAAAATCCCAATTTTTTATTTTTTCATGTTTTTCTAGTCGGAATTGTCGATGGAATCCCCTTCCATGGAGATCTCCGCCGTTAAAAACCCTAAGCCCAATTCGCATTCCCATTCCACTCCCATTCCCCGACGTTTCTCCTCCACAACGGCTTCAGCGACGAGGTCGATGTGTCTGACATCGAGATGATCACGATCCAGACCGTCACCTACACCAGCCTCAGGGACCTCCTCCCGGCGTCGACGCAGCCATCGATCATGTCACCGATTCACAATTCCAGCTGGCACGACGAGATTCCGATCAAGAACCCGCTCGTCAAGCACGCCGCACTGGCGTACCTCCAGCCGATGTCCTCGCCGCCAGAGGTTGGCGATAAGGGATTATTCCGGATGATCCGGGAGAAGTGCAACTGTGAGTTCGGGTGTCTCGGTTGGTTCGGCGACGTCGTTTTCAAGACAGTTAGGGACGTGTTTGGTGGCGTTTGTGGTTGTACGAATAGTTTTGGCGAGATTGGGGATGAGGACGACGAGGAGGAGGACGACGAGGAGTGCTTGAAAGTTGACTGACGAGAGTGAAGGATAGGGGTATTTTTGGAATGTTAGGGGTTGACTGGTAGATGATGGTAAAGAGAGAAGTGAGTGAGACCTTCCTTTTGTATATAGAATTTATTTAATCTTTTCTTTTTTGTAATTGAGTTTTGGTGGGTGGCTTTGTAAATAGATATACATTGTGTTCGGTTTATTAATCACCGAACACATGATTGGTGGGAGAGAATTTGATTTTTCTTCTTCAAGAAAAAGTTATTGAGATTTATTTTCTTGGTGCTGTATATATTTTTTGGTCAAATGTAATATATCGATCTGTCGGTTAAGATTTTGTGGAATTCTTTGCTTCTAGATCGATTAGTGACCACGTTTTGTGCTTTGTTTTTTAAACATTTTGATTATGACTTTCTACTTATCTTATGGTGTATGATTGCCGTGAGTAAAGTTTCGTGTTGAGTACTTAGTAGCTTTAGCGAAGGAGTTTTTGGAGATGGATCTGTGATATCGAATGAAAAAGAATACAGAGTATGAAGGTTTTCGACTTTGAAGACTAAATTTGTAATCTAAATCCTATAGTATTTTGGTGATAATGTTATTAACCGGAGTAAGATGATTCTATTGCATAGTGACAACACCGATTTATCTTTGTATATCTAAATACAAACACAAAAGAAGTGCATATTCACATTTTTAGAGGTTTAATAACAAAGGAAAACTAATGAAAATAGTTTGAAAATTTTAAGTTTTAATAATAAGAACAAAATAATGGGTAAAGTGAATAGTACCAGGTTTGACTTTTTGGTGTAAAAATGTGGTTTTACGTTAAAGTGAACAGTACCGTAGACTTTTTGTTAAAACTCCCTAATAACAAATCTCTTAAATTACAAATATTATTTTATTTAAACTTTTTCTCCGGCAAATATTCAAACTTATTAAATTGAGCAAGTATTCAAACTTCCATGACTATTTTAAGAACATAGAACCACATTCATTACTAACTATACATGAGCGTTCACACATAATTAAAAGATTTTATTGCCACTCATGAAATTCACCAGTATTTTTACTCCTCTAGAAGAAAATAAAATAAAAATTACACTGTCACAGTGCAACCTACTAAGGTTCGAATGCCAAACAAACTTGAAATAATTTTGTGGTAGCGAATTTTGAGTATCAAATATGGAAAATTTTCCAACATGAAGTATGCATACTAATTGTATTGGGACCATGACGACTATGACATTTTTGGGAGCTTAGTCACAAGTATATAATAACATCATGACTGACTTGTCGGAGGTGATCACTTATAAATGCTAACCGTCTCATGAGGGATGCACATACGTCACCTAAGAAAAGACGTTTGGTTTTTGTAAGAGTAATACCAGGTAGGCTAATTTTTCAAACAAAAATTTATACAACATGTGATATGTTATCAATAAAAAATAAGCAATCATCAATGAAAAAATAAGTATGTTGCTTAACACCTAAATAATCATTCAATCATCAACAATTACATTATATAATTTACAAAATATAATTTAAATAAATGATCTCGCTAACATTATCCGTTTTATAATCCAATATTTTTTTAAATAACCCTATTACCAGATACCTTTTAAGGGAGACAGTTGTTCCAATTAGGCACGCTAGCCCGGCACATTTTACATAAGGGGGCTAATAAGGACATTCCAAAAAAATCATTGTACATTTGTTCCAATTGTATTTTCTTTTTATACTTCTGTGTGTTTTGAGTGCACAATTACTCATTAAACATTTCCCTTTATATAATTTTGCTTTAGAAATTATGCACCACTTCAATGCACGGGTGTGCCATTTATAGATTTTGGGGATCATAAGGTCATTTTCAGCCTTTTATACACTCATGTTTAATTTTGTTATTTATTTTTGTTTGATTTATTCAATTTGATGATGACCATAAATAAAGAGAAATGTGTGAGAAGTTAAAAACGATCTATAAAAATCACCTAGATAGATCATTTTAGCATCTTACAAATTATGCGGGTTGTATGATATCAAGTTTTTTACAATTAGGTGACCACATGTCCGTTGTTGCACCACCATACAAATTGATATGATGAGCGGAAACCCTTGTCTAATGGCATAGCTGTTGATTGATTCACCCTCCAATAGGGTTCCTCATTGTTTGCACCTTTAAACACTTAACTGACTCTTATTTTCCATTCATATAGAAAGCAGTGGAGCGTTTTAATTTTGCTTCTTCAATGTCTTTTTCTTCAAAGATTGATGGAGCACTTGCTACTCTCATAATTCTTAGCTGTGCATCAGCTCCATACATGTATCTACCAAGATCAAAGTAACTGAGAATTAGACGTTCTTGTCGACTCATAACCCAAAAAAAAAAAAAAAAAAAAAAAAAAAAATCTTTCAATTCATGCTCGTTATATACGCTTTTTTTCTTTCATTTCTTGAAGTTGTCTCTACCAAAATCCTCGATGCCCAATTGAATCAATCGATCATATCCATAATTGGGTTGACAATCAGGCACATAACTTCCGCTTACGATCAAATTTTAATTTCTCAGCATCTTGGGCATACAATAGGCAGATCCCAAGAAATCTGTACCATACCAATCTAGAGGAAGCTTGACAGTTATAGAACATTTGTTGTTTTGGTGGCTGAACCAATTTGGAATTTCATTCCCCTCATAGACAATGCTAACTGAAGTCCCACCAGTGATATCCTGCGACAGTGATGCACATCAAAATCTTAAGCTTAAGCTCATCCGATTGTGTAACCATCGCTGGAATTGCAGAAACCATATTGTTGAATTCAGAAATCACATCAGCAAATTTATGCACTGCAGAAAAGAGTTGAGAATAACTAGCCTCCCTCAACTTGACTTTAGTTTCTATATTGTCAGCAAGAAATATACAATATTCACGAGACGGAAACTGGTCAAGAGATTGAAATCCACCCTCACACATCAGTCGTAAGGAAACTATCAAACTCAATGGGGATGCTTCTTTTATTTTCTTGAGAGATACAATATCAATGTCTTGATTGCAGTCTGTGTTGGCCAAATATGCAGCAACTTATGCGGCAGCCATTGCATCACTGGCAGATTTTGAAGCTGCTTTAGCAGCTGATGTTGAGTCTACAAACTGCGTACGTCCTCCTTCACAACACAGCATGCAATTCGCACCATATCAGGGACGTACATCAATAGCTGCAGTTACAAATCTTTACCATACTTTTCCTCAAAAATAGGTCCTTAGTGAAATCAGTTCCGAAATCTCAGAACACCTAGAAGAGGCAAATATAGAACTAGCAATTCGCCCTTTGAGATGAGGCAGACACTCTTTGCTTTGTGATGATAGAAAGTCTGGATACTACTAATTCACAGAAGAGCTCAATGAACTCATTGGCGGCCAAAATTTTCTATTCTCGGAAGACAAGTTCAACCCAGGATTTGAGCAGTGGCATTGTGACCAGATTGTAGGAGCAAGGCAATGTCACGCCTCATTTGCTTCACCACCGCCTGCCACTTGTTCCACAACATCTTTATTTGAGCCACCGCCATCTTCAATAGCATTTTGTGGAATTTAGAGCCTCCACCCTTATCCCGAATGCCATTGTAGTAGCACATGTCACGATCGAGAACAACATAGCAACTTGAGTCTGGAAGTTCATCAAACAATTTCCATGCCCAAAAATACTTCCTCACAAATTTACCCACAAGATACCAATTAACCCATCCAAATTTATCTTTCAGGTATGCACCATAGTTATTAGTCAAAAGAGAAAGGAATTTAGCCTCCGAAGTTACCGAAATGATACTCAATTTAAGAACTACCTTAGGTCCAGAATTCGTAGTATCGGAGAAACAACGGTTAAAGAGCTCATTCATTGATAGGAATGCTAATTGGGCTTCAAAGTTTAATTCTCGATAGGTGCGAAAACCTTGAGTTTGTCCCAGATAGCGTATACAGTTTAAAACATCTTAAGACGTTGAGCTTTGCTGGCTGCCTGAGTCTCAACAATTTAAATCTCTTACTCAGTTTGTGCTCTTTGGAACTAATAAGCCTATGTTTCTGTATTAAATTAGAAATCCCGGACCTCCTCATGTTTTTACCCTAGTTACAAGATTTAGATCTAAGAGGAACTGAAATTGAGAGCATACCTTCAAGCATCAAACGAGGTTGTCAATTGTCTCACATGCGGTTAAACTATTGCAGAAAGCTTCGATCTTTACCAGAGCTCCCCGTACTACGTAGTCTTGAAGCAAATAACTGCAGGTCACTGACGACAGTGTCAAGTTCAAGAAATTCACTCACACATTCACTGATGCACAGCTAAGAATTATGCGAGTTGGATCATAAGGCACGGAGCAACATATTCACTGATGCACAGCTAAGAATTATGCTCCAGCGAACTTTAAAGAAGAAGAATGTTATAAGGCCTCTCTGGTCTCACAGGTGCACACACTGTCTATTTCATTTCTTCCATTTTATTCAAGAGTTTACTAATTTGATTAAGGGTCCACAATGAGCAAGCCTTGGATTGTGAAATTGGGTGGCAGTGAGAGTTTATTAAAAACTGAAGTTCAAGGGCAAAGCCTTAAGGAAGCTCAAAACATCAATAAATCTCTTTCAGCTCTTGGGGATGTGATCTCAGCATTGTCAAGAATTAAGGCTTTGAACCGGTTGGGACATGTGGATGAAGAGAATGCCAAGGTCATATCCCTGTTTAAGAATGTAGTGGACCTTAGTGATGCTATTTAAGATGAAGTCAAGCGGGTAGAGAATCTGATTAGAGGAATATTTGCTGGAAATATATTTGATCTCGGTTATGCACAGCTTGCAGAAGTTCTCTCAAAGGAGGGTATGTCCTTTTTAGTTAGTTGTCAAAACCTTGTACCTCAACCTTGGGTTATCGATGACTTAGACGCGGAAATTGTTGTGTGTGTAAGATCTGCGTGCGGGCATTCGGGTGCATTAGACCGTGGAAGAATGGTGTACTCTGCCTGCTCTATGAATTCATATGGCAATGAAGCTGTGGTTGCTGAGATTTTGTAGAGAGGTGGTGGGGCTCTTCACGGTATCAAATTACAAGGAATGTCAACGTCCATTGAAGATAAGAGCAAGAAAAAGAACCCTCGTGTCTTCTTAGATATATCAATTGATAAGGACCCTGTGGAACAACTTGTTATTGAGTTTTTTGTTGATGATGTTCATCAGACAACAGGGAATTTTAGGGCTCTCTGTACAGGTGATAAGGGATTAACATGTCATCGAGCAATAAATGGTGTTGAGAACAACATCAAATGTTTGGTCAGAATTTATCCAATGCTTGAAACTGCAAACATTGCTGATGTGCATGACTTGAGTTTTATTATGAAATTTGGGAACAAAAGTGATATGGTGCTGAATATTTTGTAGCCTAGCCACAATGTTGTGAGAAATGATGCTATGGACCAAAAAGGTAAGGGAACAAATGGAGTTGAGCATCATGACTTACAACGCATTATATTTGCGTTACCTCTCCTTGATCCTGAGGAAATCAACATTGGTGTGCTTGAGGTGTTTGAACTAAATGCTATGGCTGAGAAGGTAATTGCAGTGCGGAATAAACAAGTAGCTATTGGTGGTGAGATGGAATTTGAGCCCAATCAAGTAGATGTTTTGGATGGACATAATTGTGTTGTAGGAGAAAGTTCCGCTTCTCTTAGTTTCAGTTTTGGTTTTGATGAATCTTCATATCTCTCTTGGGTTGAAAATTTTGAGGAGGTGTCACAAGAAAATTATGGAGAGGCTACAGGAAACAAGAACTCACTCACTCAGTTCAGGCGAGCTGCCATACCTGGAAGGATTATAATGATTTCAAAGCCAAGTTCTACAATTCCATTTTTCAGCCTCAAGGACAAGGTTGATTTTCAAGGGGGAAGTATTGTTATGACCCAAATTATTACTGAGGTTTTATGCTTTATTACTGTGAGGAATTGTTAATATGCCAGCTGGCATTTAGAAGTGTAGAGGCTGTATAAAAGGAGCCCAGCTCCCTCAAATGTATCAAATCAGAATTTACAAAAAAGAAATTAAATACAAAAATATTTGGAGCTCTGCTCCGTCATCTCTCATTCCCTCTTCTTTCATAGCTTTCTTGTGCTACTTGCAGGTTGATTAAGGGAATTGAGAATTGGAATGTATCACACTTCAATGTACGGGTGTGCCAAAATATATAGATTTTGGGGGATCATAAACACATTATTTTTAACCTCTTATACATGCATGTTTAATCTTGTCCTTTATTTTTGTTTGATTTATTCAATCTGATGGTGATCAGGAATAAAGAAAATTGTGCGATAAACTAAAACTGGTCTGTGAAAATCCCCCAAATAGATTTTGAAGCACTAGAATCCGTTGTTGCACAACTTACAAATTATGCGAGTTGTATGATATCAAGATTTTTTTCAATTAGGCAACCAAATGTCCGTTGTTGCACCACCATACAAATTGATATGATAAGCCGAAACCCATGTGTAATGGCATAGCTGTTGCTTGATTCACCCTCCAAGGGCCTAGTTTTTCGTGGATAACCCCCTAAACTTGTAAGGAGCTGTCTTCCTCCTTTAAACTTCAATTTTAGTCGATTATTCTCCTGAAATTGTAAAATTGGCCAATTTACCCTTTGAAGTTAGATTTCTCAATTTTCCATCCAACTTGGTCACATGCACGGCAGATCCAAATTGGTTGAGGGCAAAAAAGTAATTTTATCTCTTCTTTTTCACTCTGTACATTTTTTGTTTGAATTAACCATAAAAATCTAATTAGAAACTACAAAATATTGGCTTTACACCCAATTTCCTAAAATGAAATCACTGGTTTTTCCGAGAATCAGTTTTGCACTTCGAGTGCATTAATAAGTTAACAAAATACGCAAAAGATATGCACTAGTCTTGCACCTTATGCCAAAATCAGAAAAACCTATCAAATTCAAGTTCTGCATCATAATCCTATGAAAAAAAAAAACTTAATATCAATACCAAAGCTCTTCATTAATAGCAATAAAGCCATCCAACACATCATAGTTAAACTCTCCATGGCCTTGCATTTTCGGCAACATGTTGGAGTTGTGATGCCATTCATTAGCCTTCTTTATGACTTGATTCACATGACGACCTTGATTCACCTATTTCAATTCAAGATTCAAAGCAATAAAAATCTTAGCAAACCCAGGCAACAAAATTAATCTAAATAAAGATTTTTATTTATTTTTAATCAAAATGGCTGACTCTTGTTATTACTTGTAGTTTATAATTTCTTTGTGGCCTAGTTTAGAATTACCTATAGAGATTTTTTGCCCTCAAACAATTTGCATGCGCCATGAATGTGATCGAGTTTGATGGAAAATTGGATGGAAAATTGGCAAATCTAACTTCAGGGATAAATTGGCTAATTTTACAAGTTCAAGGGATAATCGACTAAAATTAAAGTTCATGATGGAAATTGGCAGCTTCTTACAAGTTCAGGAGGGAAATCGACAAATACCCCAAATAAAGTAGCTTGAGGTTAAACTTATCTGCCTCTTGCATCTATTTCACGATAGAAAGTTAATCAAACAGATCGACGAGCAACTATGACCCCTTGCGGCACCCTTTAATGGACACACCACTAACACTAAAGGGATGGCTCCCCTTGCGGCAAAGGCACCCTTTCATCCATACCTTTTAACACTTAACTGACTCTTATTTTTCATTCGTACAGAAAGCAGCAGAGCGCTATTTTGCTTCTTCCAAGTGGAAAAGCAATATACCAAACAAACACGTGACGGGATTAAAATAATTGCAGGATTGCGACAGAGAGTGTCTGCTTGTAAGAGAGAGAGAGAGAGAGAGAGACCGTGTAATTTTCTTGTTCAGTTTCTCTTTCTTCAAAGATTGATGGAGCACTTGCCACCCGCATAATTCGTAGCTGTGCATCAGCTCCTTACATGTACCTACCAAAATGAAAGTAAATGAGAATTAGACGTTCTTGTCGATTTGTAACAAAAAAAAAAAATCTCTTTTAATTCTTGTTCGTCATATATGCACCTTTCTTTCATTTCTTGAAGTCGTCTCCACCAAAATCCTCGATACCAAATTGAAAGAATCAATCATATCCATAAATTGAGTTGTCAGTCAAACACCTAACTTCTGCTTACGATCAAATTTTAATTTCTCAGCATCTTAGGAATACAATAGGCAGATCCCACACATTTCCACTATACTTTTTTTATTTCTGTCACAGTCTAGGAGGTGGAAGTCAAAAGAGGCCTCGGTGACAAGTTTGTAAAAACGAGTGAATGCTCCCTCTCCAATGGAAAACGCACTATACCACACAAATACATGACCGGACTTCAAATAGTCGTACCCTTTTCCATTAAAAGGAAAATAGGAAGGGTAATTGATTTTCCGGCTTTCACCATTAGCAGTTTTGAAAGTGCACTGACATCCAAACTTCATACTCTGCTGATGAGAACTGAATTGACCGGGTTTATAAACAAGAGATAGAGCGAAACCCAAGAAATATGTACCGTACCAATCTGGAGGAAGCTTGACAGTTATTGAACTTCCGTTGTTCTGATGGCTGAACCAATTTGGAATTTCATTCCCCTTACAGACAATGCTAACTGAAGTCCCATTAGAGATATCCTGTGATAGTGATGCACATCAAAATTATTAAACTCTTGAATAAAGTGGCAGAAGTGAAATAGACAGTGTGTGCGCATGTGAGAGAGAAAGAGAGACCTTATAACATTCTACTTCCTTAAAGTTGGATGGCGCAGTTGCAACTCGCATAATTCTTAGGTGTGCGTCAGTGACTATGTTGCTCCGTGCCTTATAATCCAGGTTTGGGCATTCAGTAAAATAATAACTCCCTCGAAACAATTCATATTTATCCCAAGCTTGTGTGAGTGAATTTCTTGAACTTGACACTGTCGTCAGTGACCTGCAGTCATTTGCTTCAAGACTACATAGTACGGGGAGCTCTGGTAAAGATCGAAGGTTTCTGCAATAGTTTAACCGCAGGTGAGACAATTGACAACCTCGTTTGATGCTTGAAGGTATGCTCTCAATTTTGGTTCCTCCTAGATCTAAATCTCGTAACCAGGGTAAAAACATGAGGAGGTTGGGGATTTCTAATTCAATACAGGAACATAGGCTTATTAGTTCCAAAGAGCACAAACCGAGTGAGAGATTTAAATTGTTGAGACTCAGGCAGCCACTAAAGCTCAACTTCTTAAGATGTTTTAAACTGTATATGCTGACTGGGACAAACTCAAGGTTTTCGCACCTATCGAGAATTAAACTTTGAAGCCCAATTAGCATTCCTATTGATGAATGTAGCTCTTTAACCGCTGTTCCTTGTAAACTAAGAAATTTCAGATGTTCCATAGGCTCCAAAATTTCTGGGAAGTACTTGAATCGAAGGCAACCAGTGAGGTCAAGGCTCTCAAGAGATCTCAACTTACAAATGTTCTTTGGTAGACTCACCAGCCTATTGCAATAACTCAGTTTAAGTGTAGTGAGACCAAGGAGACACTGAATCGAAGATGTGGGCAAGTCCTTTATTATCGTGAAAGATAAATCTAAGAATTCAATATTGTCAGGCATCTGAGGAAAAGATTTTAGATTTTCACAGTGTCCCAGATGAAGATAAGTAAGCTTGTCAAAATCTTTGAAATATGAAGGAATCCGTGTCAATCTTATGCAACCAGAAAGATTTATATGCTCAATTTTTGAACTGCGAGAGAGATCTGGAACCTCAGCCAGATGTGTGCAATAACTAAGATCAATCACTTTCAAGTTTCCAAGAATCTGTAACAAATTAAAGAGAAATTTATTAACTTCGCCGAAATAAAGTTCCACATCCACCATATTTCATACAAGGTTAACTCAAGTAAGTATATGTACCTGCTTTTTATTCCAAAGTGGCGCCTCAAGTCTGCTATAGGGCATTCGAAGCTCAACAAGGTTGTTTGGAGAAAACTTTGATGGAAGAGATTTCAAAGGGTATCGCTCCCAGTAAAGATACCTGAGAGCATTGGGAAGAGACTCGAGACCTTGAGAAAGGTCAATCTTGTAGTACACCTCGCCAAAGATAGCATCTTGAAAACCTATAAACTTTGGAAAATCCTCAGAACCATGAATCTTTAGCAATCTCAGATTATACATCTCTTGGAAGGATGAACGGGAGAGTTGTAGCCTTGTAAGGCTAGACGTGTCAACGTATATGCATTGAACCTTTGCAGTTCCCTGAAAATCAAGAGCGAAGTATAAAATGAGAATAATATATACAACAAAGTTTACTCGAAACTACTTTACTTCTGACTGGCTTATCAAAAATGAGTTTCCTGAGTTTTTTCACAGACAACTCCTGTTCATTATTTTTGATTTAAGAAAGTTTTAGGATCTTACTGTATTATTCTCCAGAACATGACAGACATCCTCTGGAGCCCACAACCTATTACGTTTTCCGGGCTCATCTGCACATTGTTCGCTAACAATTTTCTGACCCATTTCCTGAAGCAAATCATGCATCTCTAAGGAATTCGTCATAGAAATTGATATTAGAGACTTATCAATGAGAACTTGAATTCCGTTCGCAAAGAAACCTCGAAACTGTATCATTCTTTTTGCAGAATCAACATTCATCCCTTTAAGAAAGCATGCGATATCAAGGAAGCATTCCTTCTCATTTTCTTCTAGTCCATTATAACTAAGTCTCAAAACATTCTGTACTTTTTCGCTAGGAAACTTTTTCAATTTTCTCAACTCTTCATCCCAGTCTTCTTCTGTTTTGCAGCGAAGGAATACAGCACCCAAAGTTTTAAGAGCCAATGGAACGCCTTTAATATAATCTATCACCTTTCTTGAAAACTCTGTATAATCTGTTGTACGAGACTTATTCTTGAAAGCGTGCATTTGAAAGAGCATGAAGGGCTTCGTCATGTTTTAATCCCTTGACCTCATAAATTTTGTCCTCACCAGCTATTTCATTTAGTAGGCTCCTATCTCTAGTTGTTACAATGATTCTGCTTCTGGGACCAAACCGAACATCATCTCCAACTAGAAGTTCTAATTGTTCTGAATCATTCACATCATCAAGAACAATGAGGACCTTTGTACGGCTGAGCCTTTCGCGGACAAGCTTAGATCCTATAGATGGAGTGCCAATAGTCAGATCTTTCTCGTGTAATATCTCACGAAGAAGTATATTCTGCAAGTTCTTTGGCCCTTGTTTTTCTGACTCCTCCCTAACGTTTGCGAGAAAACAAGAAGCTTCGAATTTAGAAGTGAGTCGGTTAAATACAAGCACCAGCAAGGGTGGTCTTGCCTATACCACCCATTCCCCATATACCTACAGTCAAAATATCTGGTGAATCAATGCATAATAACGACTCAATTTCCTCGATTTTGGTTTCAATTCCAACAAGGCCCGTACAATCACTTGACTGTTTGCAATTCAATTTGGTCAATATAACTTGGACAACTTCCTCAATGAAATCGGCCTCTGTCCTGAAAAATATGATTTTGAAGGTTAAAAAATAGATACTAATTAAATATCTCTTAATGAGGTGCAGAGAGGTTCAAAATTATGCAAGAGGTGCAAAGTTAGCTACCCGGCTTTGTTTAAATTATCAAAACCAGATAGGTTGGCAGCTTTCTCCAAAGCATCCCTCCACTCAAGCACCTTGTCCATACAGTCCTTGAAACGTTCTTCAAGTTGAGCAAATGCAAATGCATAACTCCCCTGCTGTTTTCGTACATCTGCTGGACTGATGTCGTAAAAAATGGGTACAACAAACTGTCCATCCCCTTCCTTGCATCCTAGTATATGCAAGAGTTCATCCAAACACCATGTGGAAGAAGCATAGTTTTTTGAGAAAATTATCACCGAAAGCTTTGACTTCCCAATAGCTTCTAGAAGGGCAGGTCCGATTTCATCCCCTCTCTCCAGTTTGTAATCTATGTAGATGTCAAGTTTCTTTCGAAGTAAAGCAGCATGAAGGTGGCTGGTGAAGGTGCTGCGGGTGTCCTTACCTCTGAAACTAAGGAACACATCATGCTTTCTTCGAGGTGAGATAGTACAGCAGCAGCAGCAGAAGATGAAGACGCCATATTAATTACCTGCAAACCAAACTGTATCTCTCATAACCTGCAAACACACCCATATATAGATACATACACACACAGATATGCACATATCGGCAGGGGGAGCCAGGAAAGTATAGCAAGGGAGTACCTCATGTGGACAAGATGATAATTTATGTGTTTAAGATATACTGGTTACAAATCCATATACAAATAATACAGCACAAAAAAGAGAGGGAGAGAGCACTGCAGGAGTTCTAGCTTCCATTCTCCATTAAAACGGTCATGAAAATTCAATTCACGCCTTCTAGTCAGAGGTAACCACACATCCACTTTCTGCTTACGATATACACAAACCAAATTCAGTTTGCATATACACGACCGATCAAGAAACTCCAATATGCAGAATTTCCAAAAGCTTTTATTAGTAATAGTAAGTGGTAACCATACACCACAAAATCCATGAAAAACAAGTCTAATACAAAGCAACAAGTTCAAATAACTAATCACTAGTCTAATACTCAATCAAATTTCATTTCAAATTTCTGAAAATAAAACAACTTATAACATCAATTATTATACCCTAAACTCCAATTCAAAAACACAGAAAACAAACAAAGATTCCAAGAAATACACTAAATTATATTTAAACTATAGTTTCAATTCGAAATTTATCTAATTATAGATATGCAAGTCAGTGGTTTACCTTTGAATCAAGAAAATATTTGCGTGTACAGAAATTAATTGCCTTAAACGAGAGATTAATTGCCTTTTGATGATCATGCGCTACTTAATTAGTAGTTGATTAATTTGATGCACAAAATCGATGCTCCTCTGTAATGAAAGTCAACTTTATAATCAGTTTATTAGTTCAATGAGATGGAAGCTGCGTGCTAGCTGTCTTCTGTGTCGCTACCCGCCGGTCTCCATTATATATTTATCCATGCCACGTAAACTTTTCTATATTATATTGCAATTTACAACGATCCAAATAATTAATTAACTCACTTCTTATATGAATCGATTGGACGAGACGATTTCGTTAACGGTTTGTATTATTCATAAGGATTTGATGCGACATTTACTTGAGTATTTATATACTTACAAAAAAAGTTGCAGTTTTAATTTAATTAGGATTGTGATTGTATAAATCTTAATAGATTGTGTTTAGAATTATGTTCAGGATCTTTACTGGTTACAAGTCCATATACAGATAATATAGCACAAAAATTTAAAAGGGTCATGATAACTCGACCCACGCTTTCGAGTCAGGGGGGACCACGCATCCACTATTTGCTTATGATATACTCAAACCGAATTCAGTTTGCATATACGTGAACGATCAAGAAACTCCAATGCAGAATTTCCTAAAGCTTTTATTAGTAATTGTAAGTGTTAACCACAAAATCCATGAAAAACAAGTCTAATACAAAGCTATAAGTAATCACTAGTCTAATACTAAATCAATTTTCATTTCAAATTTCTGAAAATAAAATAACCTATAACATCAATTATTACACCCTTAACACCACTTCAAAATTAGAGGAAACAAACAAAGATTTGAAGAAAGTATTTGCGCGCATAGAGATTAATTGTCTTATGCTATAGCTCAGAACCAAAATTTATCTAATTAACTACATGTAAGTCAGTGATTTACTTTTGAATCAAGAAGGTATTTATGCGCACATAGATTAATTGCCTTAAACGAGAGAAAGAGATAAAAAGAAGTTGTAGAGAGAGGTTGCCTAACTTTTAATAGTCATGTTATATAATTTTCTCCTACTTAACTAGCAGTTGATTAATTTTATGCACAAAGTCGACGCTCCTGTGTAATGAGTCAACTTCATGATCGGGTTAATTAGTTTAATGAGATGGAAGTTGCGTGCTAGCCGTGTTCTGTGTTGCTACCTGCCGGACTCTGTATGTATATTTGTACGTATGTATGGATGTATGTATCTGTATGTATATTCTCCATGCTATGTGATCTTTTTGTAATATATTGCAACGACTCAAATGACTTACTCACTTTTCTCATTAGACTCTGGATTTGCTCCATGTTATCATAACTAGGTTTTGTGAAGAAATTATTTATTGTGTCTAGAACAATAAGTAGTACATCACGTATCGTTATATAAGTACAAACATTTAGTCATTATACATAACGTTTAGTTATTTAAGTTGTTAATTTTTTAACATTCTCTACTACTTATATAGTGATATGTAGTATACTATCCTGTGTTCCAGGCGCACTGAAAAACTCTCGGTTTTGTGAAACTTACTTCTTATATGAATTTCCTATTTGAGACTTGCGTTTAGTCATTGTGCTGACTAGAGATGACTTCATTAACTACTTCTATATCATCCATAATAACTTGATGCACCCTCTGCTTGAGTATTTACACACTTGAGGGAGTTTTGCAGTTCTAATTTAATTATTTGTGATGGGTAAATCCTAGTAGATTGTGTTTAGGATTATGTGTTGAGAATGAATCCCACAGTAATGGGAGGAGGGACCTTAAGTAGTTGGGCTACTCCCCATATTGCCAATTAATTTTCTGATGGAACCTCAACTTCTTCATTGTACTAGAGCAAGTTATCTGATGTATGAAGCCAAATAGCCACACAGTGCTCCACGTCACCGCATTGTGTTGTTCACGTGTTAGGCTTACAAATTCATCACACGTGCGGGGGAGTGTTGAGAATGAATTCCACATTGATGAGAGGAGAGACCTTGCATGTGCTTATAAGTAGTTAGGCTACTCTTTATATTGCCAATTGGTTTTATAGTGGAATTTCAACTTTATTTATTATGTTCAAGATCTTTTCTATTGGACCTTGTATTACTTGTAGGGCAAGTAAGCCCACTATTTTATTATAAATAAAGATACAAAATGGTGAAAAACATCATCATATGAATCTCCTCCAACTCTCTTTTCTCTCTTTCTTCCTATCTCGCATCTTCTCTCTTTTCCCTTACCAAAATAGGCTTACAACAAAAGATTCAATTTAGTTCGAGAAATATAATAATATATTTTGATATAGGTCGATGATCATTTTGTCTTGAATATCTTCTAGCATAACTCAATTGAAATAGTTCACCTTTTCAGCTAAAGTCAATAATTTTGCTAAAATATCTCTTTGTTGATTTATCCTTAAAAGCACAAAATGTTAATCAAAGTAATCCTAATATTAAAAATATTTTGTAATGTTAAACAAATTACCCCCAACTTGCACACCAACACAAAAGTTCGGTAAATTACTTGGAGACCCAAAGGTTTACAACAACAATGACTAAAACTAGGAATCCCTTGGTTATGATAGACTTTTCGAAGTACAAGGTATTTAAGTGGATACTCCACATGTGAGAAAATAATATATTTATCCATGTGTCTCCACCTATTTTATGACGTGAAGTATCCTTTTAATACCGGTCACTAGGAAAAAAATCCCTCGGCTACAAGGCTTACAAACATCTCAGCTCAAATTCTTTATTTTTAATTTCTAATCATTTTCTTTGACTGCTTCAACTTGTTGTTCCTCCCAAGGAGAGGATCGAGGTCCAGAACGTTGAACTCAAAACAGGCTCAGTTACAAGTCTGTAAAATGCAGTGAAGCAATATAAATTTGCTCCCTCTCCAAGTGGAAACGCACTACACCACACAAATATGCATTATTTTTTTGGGCACACACATGATATGATCCGATAGAAGAAGTCAATTCCCCTTTCTTATTAAAAAAATAATACAAAGGATAACTGGTTTTGGCTTTCGCTACGATTAGTTTTGAAATTTGAACTTATATCCAAACATCATTTTTGCATCACCAAAGTCGTCTTTGACAACAAGAGATAGAGCAAAACCAAATAAATATGTACCATACCAATTTGGAGGAAGTTTGATAGTTATCGAAGATCCCTCATTTTGATGGCTGAATCAAGGGAATTGTTATTAGCACTCTAAAAGTCTCATTCTACAATCCTTACAAGTATATTTTTCTTTCTACTTATAGAAAATTTAGAGTGCTAAATGAGATTTTTGAAGTCTTAATAACAATTTCTCTAAACCAATTTAAAATTTCATTTCCCACACATATAATGCTAACTGAAGTCCCATCAGAGACTTCTTGTAACATTGATGCATTTACCTCAAATAAATGATTAAACTCGATCGTGGAAAGATGGCATGAGAGAGATATGAAAGTGTGTGCTTTTGGGGGAGAGGGGGGGGGGGGGAGGAATGGACATCAGCAAAAATTATTAAACTTGTGGAAAGATGGCATAAGAGAGATATGAAAGTGTGTGTTTGTGTGGGGGGTGGTGGGGTGGGGGGGGGGGGGGGGGGAAAGATCGTGTCAATTTCCTCTTTATTGAAGATCGATGGAGCAGTTGTCACTCTCATAATTCTTAACTGAAGATCGATGGAGCAGTTGTCACTCCCATAATTCTTATCTGTGCATCAGCCATTATGTTCATCCTTGCATTTTCATCCAAGTCTGGGCAATCAGAAAAATAAAAATGCTCTAGGAATGACTCATATGTATCTCATGCTTGTGTGAGTGAATTTCTTGAACTTGACAATGTCTTCAGTGACGTACAGCTGCACATGTATCTCATGCTTGTGTGAGTGAATTTCTTGAACTTGACAATGTCTTCAGTGACGTACAGCTACACGGAGAGCTCTGGTAAAGACTGAAAGCTCCTCAATAGTTTAAGTGCAGATGAGACAAATGACAACCTAGATTGGATGACACAGACACGGATATGACGACACGAAAAAATTCAAAAATAAGGACACGGCGATTAAAATATAATAAATATTGCATATATTAAAAACCATATTTCCTATTCATAATATAACAAAGTACTCATGTTCTTCAAATTCATTCATCATACATAATAATTATTTTCGAACAAATCACCCTACATGGTAATTAAAACACAAACATAATAATTAAAACAACACATGATTCAAGTCTCAATGATCTTCAAATCACTCTTTAATTTCCTCTTGAACTTCATCGTCGTCATTAGTAAAGATTATGGCCTCCAGTTCTGATTCATCAAGTGAAAGGTTTACAATTTCGAGCACAGCCGCATGCATACTCAAAGAATCAAATTCATCCCCACCCACATCCCATATTTTTAATTGACCTTGTTTTACAATGGTTGGTCCTCCTAAATAGAAGACGAACATTATTATTATCATATACCAAATCTTTGGCTCTTTGTGGTGCTATCTTATTCCCCCAAGAAGCTTCAAAGGCAAATCTTGAAGAGTTGGAGTGGAAGCTCCATGGACAATCCACCATTATTTTACCTGTTGGATTGGAAATCTAACACTTATAGCATCGGTACTTGAAAAATCATCTAGCCGAAAAAGCAACATACGCCTCTCCATTATTAATAAAGTATCGCGCAAAACATATTTGTTTTCTTTCTATTGCGATCTCTTTATCCTTATGCAAAGCAACACGATTTGGAGCACCATCAAGTCACTCATTGTTGTAATACATGTAAATGATAAATGAAAAAAATTATAATAACGAAGGCCAACTAAATAAATTTACTAAAACTCTCAAAAAAGTACATTGGATTTAAAGAATGTGCAAGGCAAAGTAGTGGTGTGCTACTTTTGGTCCATCTTTGTATTAGCACTTCCTACACGGCATCAAAGAATTCCGATTGCTCATAAAGCTCACATCTTCTATCATATAGTCCCAATATTCATAAACCAAGTGAAGACATGGAATATCGGTGTCACACATTCTAGGCATAGAATAAATAGGAGATGTAAAATTAAGTATGTATTCAAGGTCAAACCAAAGTTTGTCACTTAATATTCTCTGTGATACTTCTTGCCTTTTCCACACAATCCTCTTCATACAAATCCCATTCCTCACTAA